TCAGAACAGTGAGGCTAAGGACACCCTCACCGAATATTTAGTCTGCGTCTGTCTCTCTTTCTTGCCCTCTTTTTTATGGCAGGTATTTCCCATGTTTCGTGCAGTTCCAAATAAATCATGGTTTTCACAGCTGGTTTGTAGAATTTACCTCATGTCTGTTCCGCCATGGCAGAGAAATCCACTGGGATCTTGAACTTTTCTAGGAGGAAGTTTTCTGGGCTTGTGGAGAGCCCTCTGGTGTTTTCCTGCACACCCACAAGTAATTAATATCTAAATTAAGTCCTCCTCCATGGGGCCAGCCTCCTCTCCTCTCCCAGCCCGTCTGGCTGGCTGTTGAACTCCCTTGGCACTTCATTAGCTTGTCACTGGCAGCACAAGAGGCAGGCAAAGTCTCATCACCCAGTGTCCTATTTTTCAGATGTGGGAGGACAAAAGTCCCTACATTGTCAGCAGAGTTGGAACACAGCTGGGAAAGTTGCTTTTATTCCATTCTTCTTTACAGTTTAAAACTTGGGAAGTATGCTTCTGGGGATTTAGCTCAGCGGCATAAGCGCCTGCCTTGCAAGCAGGCAGTCGTGAGTTTGATCCCTGGTACCAATAAAAAGGAAAAAGACAAAAAAAAAAAAAAAAAAAAAAAAAAACCAACTTGGGAAGTAGTTCGGTTTTCTAGACAGCAAGAAAGGCAGGGAGACTTCTATCTGCAGAGGTCTCCGTATTATTCTCCTTCCTTTATCTGCACGATTACAAGATCCAGTTCCAGCAAGTTGAGGTGGAGAGGAACAGGTTATGTTGTTAAGACAAATGGCAGGTAATACAGAGAAGATCTGGTAGACCATCTTGAGCAGACTCTTATTTTACAAGTGAATTTGTGGTTCAGAGACAGGAAGTGACTTTCTCTAGGCCATAGTTAGTTCCTGGACTAGAAACTAAGTGGGTGCCTTCTGACTTTGCGCCATGGACTCTGCCTCAGATCTTCCTGCTGATAAACTCTTGAGTCCGACTTCACATGGAGAGGGCTATTGTCTAGTCCTGAAGTTTGTGGTCTGGCTTCTCACAGTGGGTGATTGGTAGCCTTGTCCCTGAGCTGTCTGATTGGATTGGTCCCAGGTTTCCTAGTAGCTGGCAGATCTCTGCTGCCTCCTGCTGCAGATACCATGCATGGCTTTTTGGCAAGGAAGGAAGTGTGATTTGACAATAAGACAATAAATGGGAAAGCCAATAAAATTTTTTGTTAGCTGTTTGTCAGATTTTTCAGAGGGGTGATGTATCCTTGATCATGAAGCACAAGCGGTTATAAGGGTGCCCATCAGTGTCAGTCTGGGGTACTTTAAAACTTCAGATTTACAGGTTCCTCTTAGCTACAGGGAAAGACTTTTTTTTTTTTTTTTTTTTTGTCTTTTTCCTTTTTTTATCGGTATCAGGGATCGAACTCATGACCGCCTGCTTGCAAGGCAGGTGCTTATGCCGCTGAGCTAAATCCCCAGCCCCCAGGGAAAGATTTTTAAAAAACAGTTCCAAATTAGAAGAAATTGTGAAGTCAAAGTTTTGTTGCTGAGATACCCCATAAAAGTTACCAAGTAAGCTCTTTTATATTAGAGGTTGAGGCAACAAAAATCCAGAGAAATTTAATAAATTAAGAAATTATGGTTATTTTGTATTAGTACAAGTCTTCTGACTTAGTTTAGTTTGGCTTTCTGTTTTGTGCTTCCTGTATGCTGACTCCTGCTTGTTTTTGTTTTGTCTTTCAGGGTATTTCTAAGTCTTACTATATTTGTCTCCCCCTTTTATAGAAAAGAAATCAAAGGTTAGAGTGAAGCACCTTTCCCGGGTTATGAATGAATGTTTGAGTAACAGTTTAAGGGTTTCTGAATCCTGAGTTTATGTTTTAAATATAACCTATACTGCATCTCTTTAATGATTTGTACTTGTTATCTGCTCCAGTAGTATAAGGTCTTTGTCTCGTATTCATTGTCAGACACAGCCACTGCTTTTTTTTTTTTTTTTTTTTTTTGTCTTTTTCTTTTTTATTGGTACCGGGGATCGAACTCACGACCACCTGCTTGCAAGGAGATGCTTATACCGCTGAGCTAAATCTCCAGCCCCACAGCTGCTGCTTTTTAAGAAGAGGTAGCCCATCTGAATCTAATAGTCAGTACTTTACAAATCTGGACCCTTAAGTTCCTCCTGAGAAGGTGTTGTTTTGAGCACATCATTGTCATTGGGAGCCCTGTTAAACATTTGCATATTGAGTCACATTAGCACTTACCTGTGTAGCTTCCCACACAGTGAAATTCTTTAAACTGTGAAAGCAGCAAAGGTGGGAAGATGAGGGCAATTTGTGTGCATGAAAAGCCTCTGAGAAGATATCCTAGTTTCCAAAAGAAGACACTGATATTTTTACTTTGGGTCAGCAGCAGTTACTGACAGATAATTTCGGTTGAAACACTTCCAAATGGTTTGAAATTTTTTCAAAATGTTGTCTCTTTTGCCTTTGTAGATTGGATATCATCAGTGTGCCTGCTCATTAGTTGCTTGTACTTTTCACAGTCTTATGTTTAGATAGACATGCTCTGTGTCATTACTTAGCTGTACTGGGAAGATAAGAAATGTCTGTGAGCAGCATACGAGCCTGTTGGACTGTGCTCCTGCCATGAGTATGGAAATACATAACGATATTTTCTTGCTATTGGTCCTTTGATATTTTAAACATAATTTTAAAATATAGTTGAAGTATTATTTTAAACAATAGGTTAAAAAATCAGACTTAGAGTTTATATTGTTTTTCCCTTTCATTTTGCTTATACTTCACTAGCAAATTGTCAGTATCTTTTGTGCCTTCTTAAAACAGATTCGTTGTACATACGATTCATCTTGGGTTTTCTTTTGGCCAGTCCCCAGTACCCAGGCCCCACACGCTGACATAAGCTGAGGACACCCTGAAGAGCAGGACATGTTTCCTGCTGCATGTGAACACCTCAGATTCGATGAGCTCCTGTAAAAGTACTTCCTAAGGAAAACTTCTTTCAAGTGGCTGTAGGAATTTTAACACCACGCAAGAAGCAGATATTCTTATTTATTTTCCTTCTAAAATCTCCATTCCTTCACCCTTTGGAATGTGTTGATCTTGAAGGTAAATTGGCAAATACTCCAGGCAGGTGGAAGCACTGGGCTTTTGCTGGGAATTTTCTAGTGCTAGATGATGTTGTCTATCTTCTGCTTAACTCTTTCACACTCACTCGATGTGGACAAGATAACTAGTGACTTATGTTTGAATGGTAATGCAGTTATTAAGATTTTAGAATTTTTAGTGTATAGAAGCACTTATTTTAAAACTAAATTTTGATTATGGAAAGAATTGAAAAGACTGTTTGGTGAAGATTACTTGAGAAAATTATTGGCCTTATGTTTAGGTCAGTTGGCACTCTATGAGGTTTTAGTTTTTGTAATGTGTAAATATGTGAATATTTTGGCTTAGTTGTATTAATGCTAGAGTGTTATTTAGATGCTGACTTTCTTGTTAGTACCTGTTTGTGTTTCACAATATTGATGTTTGTTTTGGGAAACTGGTACATGCATCTAACATTTCTTGCTTATTTTCAATCCTTTCATCCCTTTTCCTCGGGACCCCTTCCTTAGGGATATTTTATGCCATATGATTATATTATCATATAATCATATATGCCATATGATTATATTAATTCTTTTTCTGTAATATTGAAAATATATGCAAATCATTAGCTACTGGAGAAATCCAGATCAAAACTGAAGCATAAGCTGGATGTGGTCGTGTGTTGGCATGGCAGCTACTCAGGAGCCAGACACGAGATCATTAAGCACAAGAGTCCAAGACCATCCAACCTAGTGAGTTGCTATCTCACAGAAACAATAGCCACTCTGAAATGAGATGATGTGTAAACTCATGAGAGTGACTGAAATAAAAATATACATACATACATAGATGCATACAGCATCCATATAATTAATACCTGTGGATCCATCTATTGGTAGAAATATAAAACGGTGCTGCTACTATGGGAAACAGTGTTACAGTTCATGTACAGGCAAATATAGACATAAATAGTCTCAAAGCCCTGACCAGCCAGTTAATAAAAGAGTTCAGAAATCACATACTTTTCAAACCAAATTCGTTTTATAGGTAAAAAGATATGTTCACACAAAACTTATACATGCATATGCATAGCAGTTAATATTGTTACTCAGTCGAAAGTGGAAACAGTACAGGTGTCCATCAGATGAATGAATAAACAAAACGTAAAACGTCACATGTCCACCTGATGATGCATACCTATAATCCCAGTACTTAAGAGGCTGAGGCAGGAGGATTGCCCTGAGTTTGAGACTAGCTTAGGCTTCATAGTGAGTTTGAGGCCTGTCTGAACTACATAGGGACATCCTCTCTCAAAAAAACAAAACAAAAAACCCCCAAAAGTCGCATGTCCATACAATGGGATATCATTGGTAGTAACAGGAAAGGAAATGAACTATAGATAGATCCTACACCAAAATGAGTCTTGGACATTATCCAGGTTATGAAAGCCCACTCTTTATGGTTCCATCTAAATAAAAATGTTCAAATTAGTGATTTGATAGGGCTTAAAGGAGGAGGGAGATAAGGAGTAATTGCTAGTATGTATGGTATTTTGGTATCATTTAGAGCAATGAAAATGTTCTAAATTAGGTACTAGTGAGTGTTGCACATGTAAAAAGCATTGAACGATATACTTAAAGGTTGAATTATATGATATGTGAATTATCTTTCAATAAAGTTGTTAGTAAAGAAGTAATCATAGAGATACATTTGCTTCCATTACCATAAATCCTCTCTGGAGTAATACACAGTGGCTGCTTTGAAAAGAAAAGCTGCATCCCTAGTGCGGGTACACCATGTGATAATCTTACTTATTTCATGAGTAAACAAAAGTTTAATAATTATCCAGATATTAATAGCTTTTTTCCTCTCTTGATTCTACTATGAACAGGTCCTCCAGGGTTTAGATTATCTACACAGTAAGTGCAAGATTATTCATACAGATATCAAGCCAGAGAACATCCTGATGTGTGTGGATGACGCGTATGTGAGGAGGATGGCAGCCGAGGCCACGGAGTGGCAGAGAGCAGGCGCTCCTCCTCCCTCGGGGTCTGCAGGTGAGGGGCTGCGGCTCTGTGTGTGTCTGCTTGGGGGCACTGTGGCCTGCCAAAATTGACATTGAAGGTAACTGAGTCAGATGTGATGTGTAACAACTTGGTTTCAAGGAACGACAATTACACATTTCATTATTTGTTTTACTACTTGAATTGCTTACCTTTGTCCTCCATTAAAATAAACTGGACATAGTGACGCGTGCCTGAAATCCCAGCACTGCCAGGATGAGGCAGGAGGATCACAAAATTGAGACCAGTATGGGCAAATTAGAGAATTATTAGCTAGACCCTGTCTTAAAAAATAAAAAGGGCAGGGGCTGGGGATTTAGCTCAGCGGCATAAGCACCTGCCTTGTAAGCAGGCAGTCGTGAGTTCAATCCCTGGTACCGATAAAAAGGAAAAAGACAAAAATAAATAAATAAATAAATAAAATAAAATAAAATAAAATAAAAAGGGCTAGAGATGTAGTTCAGTTCAGTCTTCACTCCCCCCACCCCTAAGCACCTTTCCTCCCCACCAAAGACCACCTGAATTCTTGGCTGCTGCTTCATCTGTACTTGAACGTTTCCTTGTGCTGCCTCCTCCCCTTGGAGAATATAGAAACCAGATTCTTAAAGCTGGCCCGCAGTCACCAGAGTTGCTGCAGCTTCAGTCTTGTTGGAATGCTGCGTTCTCTTCAGCTGTCATAGCTGTGTCAGCATGAGCCAAAACAGTGCGCTGTGATTGAGTTGTGAAAGGCTGAAGTGTGTGCGGAAAGAGGTCAAGTGAGAGCTGAGCATTGGCAGCTGGAGTTTTACTTCTAAATGGTGCCAATAAGACCTGACTCTGCTTTTGCGCTTGCTCGTTTTGCACTTGCCCGCACCCCGCCTCGAATGTTGTCAGGCCGATTTACAGAGGAAAGCACTGGGACTCTGGAGGGATGTGCTCTCACCGTGTCTCTTGTGCTGCAGTCAGTGTGATTTAGAGCACGGAATCAGTCAGTCAAGCTTTTGATGATGGTAGGAGTCGCATGTGATTCTAAGAACCATTGGGGCAACTGCTGTACTATCAATTTATGGTAGTTGTGTAAGACTTGCCCAATGGATTTCAAACACAGATGTGCATCGTCTCCTCTTTGTTCATTTTATTCTCTATAAACAAATTTGGTTTGTTTATAGACAATATGAACTGTTCTCCTTGATATATTTTGTTTTTTGTTTTAGTGTTTGAGACTAGGTTTCACTGTGTATTCTAGACTGGCTGTTGAACTCACTGTGTAGTCCTAGGTGTCCTTAAACTTATGGTGATCCTCTTGTTTCGGCCTCCTGAGTGTTGGGATTATGGGCATGGACCACTACACCTGGTTCTGTTTTTAAAAATTGTCAGAGCAGGCAGTTGTGAGTTTGATCCCTGGTACTGATAAAAGAGAAAAAGACAAAATATATATATATATATATATATCAGTCAGTGCTTTGAGACTGATTGGTTTCAAAATGACTCAGTATAAACAGCTTCTGCTGTGTCCTCTTAAGTCAGTCTTTTTTTTTTTTTTTTTTCTTTTAATAAAGTTCCTCTAGAAAATCCCTATGATAAACTCTGGGGTTGGTTGGTGTATGTTTTTATGAGGCAGTAATTATTAAAAGGCAGTTATTGCTGGATGTGGTGATACATGCCGATAATCCCAGTTACTTAGAAGGCTGAGGCAGGAGGATCACAAGTTCAAGGCCAACTCTGGTGATTTAGCAGGTCCCTGATTGACTGATTTATTGGATCCAGGAATTGAATTCAGGGCTTCATGCTTGCAGGCAGATGCCGCACTGCTGAGCTAGATTCTTGGGCCAAGGCCCTGTTTAAAGAAGTAACAAGGGCTGAGGGTATAGCTCAGTGGTAGAACATCCTTGAGTTTAATTTTCAGCCCATCAGAGAACAAAAAGTAATTATTTCATTTTGCTATTTGCATTATCTGAAGATATGTATGTTTCTCTCTAAACATCCATTTTGTTTTATTTTGTTTTAGTGAGTACGGCTCCACAGCAAAAACCTGTAAGTACTTTTGCAGAATATTTATTCAGACTATCAAATGGAACTATTTATTATTGAGCTTTTCAAATTATAACAGATATGTTAATCAATATTAAATTAAAAGTAGGTGTGTTTATAAAGACTTTATATCCTTAATTTAAATTGAAAGGATCTCTACAGAACTTGAATAATCAAACATATTGCAAGATCGGTCTTAACATGCTTTCTAGGGACGAGGGTGGCTGGGCTGGGAGGATCGTGAGGTGCTGCGATGAAGTGGCAAGGTGACTGTTCCAGAGTCACCTTGCATTACTTGTGATGGGCAGGCATCCCAGTTACCTGTTTTTCTGACACGGTTATGCTAACATTTTTCTCAGCTAGTTGTTTAAATATGAGAGTGTTACCTATTCCATGGTTCTGTCCGAACCCAGTGTCCAACAAGTTAGGCCTCAGTCTGTGATTTAATTGCGGGTGTGAGGGCCAAGGAATGCTTGGCCTGCCCAGCCCAAGGTTCCGAAGCTGCCCCGGGTCCTCCCTGGCCCACAGGGTGGGTTCCTGATCCTTGGGGTTTGGGAGGCACTTATCCTGGAACTGTGTGACTCAGATAGATGGCTCCTGTCAGAGGCAGACAAATACTGTGGGTTATTTCTTTTTTACCCTTTTGCTTAGTGTGCTCATTTCTGAGAAGTCATGTGGCCCGCTGTTGCTAACAGCTCAGTACAGGAGAGGCAAACTCAGTGCTGCCGACCACCTTGGGCAAGCTTTCCCCTTTTAAGCAGTTAGGAGGCTGGAATGTGCTACTTTGTGTATAGAAAGCAACTCATAAAATTTATAAAAGGACCTTCTTGCTTAAAGCTGAGTATTTCGGGGGCTAGGGATTTAGCTCAGCGGCATAAGCGCCTGCCTTGCAAGCAGGCAGTCGCGAGTTCGATCCCTGGTACCGGTAAAAATGAAAAAGACCAAAAAAAAAAAAAAAAGAAAAAAAAAGCTGAGTATTTCAGGACATTCATTTTTCCTAGAATTTCAGTGGTGAAACCTGACTGATCTCAGCTATGTCCCGCAAGTGCCAGACCTGATAATAGACCCAGCACCTGATACAAGCCAGCACTGCTTTCTGTTTTTCCAGAACCCTAACCACAAAGATGGATCTTCTGTCTGGGCTTGTGAATTTTATTCAATATGACTTGATAAGTTAGCATTTGTTGGTATTTGCCATGCTTTCAGCACTTGTACTGTGATGTGGTAGTTTAAAAAGTGCAAACTGACCCATAGTCTTTTCTTCACATATTGTAGATAGGAAAAATATCTAAAAACAAGAAGAAAAAGCTGAAAAAGAAACAGAAGAGGCAGGCTGAATTATTGGAAAAACGCCTGCAGGAGATAGAAGAATTGGAGCGAGAAGCTGAAAGGAAAATAATAGAGGAGAACATCAGCTCGGCTGTACCTTCCAATGCGCAAGAGCACGACTTCCACCCGGAGGCGGAACTGAAAGCAGCAGGCTTAGAGGGGCCCACCGAGGGAGAGGCTGCCAAGGACAGCGGTCAGTGGGGCCTGGGGAGGAGGCCGCAGGGCTCGTGCTGCTGCTGCAGAGGGGCCGGGTGCTCTACTTCCTTGTGCTGCACGCTAGGCTTCCCGATGTTAACTTGTGTCTGGCGTGCATGTTGTAGTTCTCAAAAAGTGACTGCCTGAGAAGTGCTGTGTTTCCATCGCGCTGACCATAGCCTTCTTTCGTTTAAGAATTAACTTTGGCCTAACAGTAATGCGGTGCAGACCTTTTTCTGAAGATTGTGAGGCAAAGGGTAGAAGTCCAACTTTATTTATAAAAATACTTTCCCAAGAGTGTTTTTTGTTTCCTTTTTTATTAGTATATATTTGTGATACATAATCACTACATTAATTTGGGAAGTTGGTTCAAAAGCTTATTTTATTTATTGTTGAGATAGAGTTTTGCCATGCAGTGCAGACTGGCCTTGAACTAACCTGTGCAGCCTAAGCTGGGCTTGTACATGCAGAGCTCCTCCTCCTTCAGCCTTGAGAGTTCGGGGCTGCATCACTAGACCTGGCTTCCCGAAAACTTTTCCCAACAAGATTAGACCACTTCTTAAGTAAGTGGAAGTTAGGATTTAGAAAACCTGATGGTTTTACCCTGAGAACGGGGAGGTATTGACTCTGTGGTACATAAATGAAGCACATTAGAAAGTGTGTCATGCTGAGGGAGGGCAGTGCCGAGTGCCTCTGCTGAAAGAGAGTGACAGTTCTAATTGCTGTCCTGTCAACTTTTAAGGTGAAGCTGAAGACCAGGAAGAGAAAGAAGACGCCGAGAAAGAAAATGCTGAGAAAGATGAAGATGATGTCGAGCAGGAACTTGGGAGCACAGACCCTACGTGGATCGAGTCACCCAAAACAAACGGCCACATTGAGAACGGCCCGTTCTTACTAGAACAGCAGCTGGAGGACGAAGAGGATGAGGAAGATGACTGCCCAAATCCCGAGGAGTACAACCCCGATGAGCCAAACGCAGAAAGTGATTACACGTACAGCAGCTCCTACGAACAACTCAATGGTGAATTGCCAAATGGACAACATAAGATTCCAGAGTCCCGGTTCCCAGAGTTTTCCACCTCACTGTTTTCTGGGCCTTTGGAATCTGTGGCCTGCGGCTCTGTGCTTTCCGAGGGATCACCGCTCACCGAGCAGGAGGAAAGCAGCCCATCCCATGACAGGAGCAGGACGGTTTCAGCCTCCAGTACTGGGGATCTGCCAAGAAGTAAGTGTCCTCTCCCACCCTGTCTGCTCCACCGCCTGCGGAAGGATTTGGCGGAGGTGGTGAAGAAGCCTGTGTGCTAACCATTTGCATTCTCTTGCTTTTGTACTGAGGGGCAAGTGATGTGCTTTAAAAATACTTTGTGCCACTAGGCTTTCTCTCCCTCTGTGTAAATGAAACCCAATTTGTGAGCTTCTCTTGTTGTTAGTCAGTGATGTCAGCCGATTGGCAGAACCCTGCACTCTAGCAGCTTTGCCACTCTCACCTCTTCCATCTGATAGTGCTGCATTTAGTTTCCCTTTTGTTTGTTTTCTTTTCAGGAGAAGGTATTTGTTTTGACTTGGTAGAATATCTGCCCATTCTTTGGCTGTATTAAGAAAGAACTGTTGTCACTTATTTTGACAGTTGCCCCTGATTCTAGAACCCTGCTTCTGATAACTGGCCCAGGATTATAATTTTAAAAGTGGCATGGATTTAAACATGGTGCGAGGTTGCAGATTGGCTCTTGTGTTCTTGTCTACCTGAGGCCATCTTATCTTAAGCAAATGGGACGACAGGGAAAAGCCCAGAAACCACCTCTGTACCCTGTGCTGACGAGTGCCTCCTACCCCGTGGACTGATGGGCAGCCCTAGGCCTGCTGTGCCCGAAGATGGTGCGGCCCACCCCTGGTGCACCTCCTTCTGCCTGGTGGGCACCTTCTCCACAGCGCCGGTGCAGTGCTGGCTCACTTTTCATCTGATTTGTAGACATGTACAGCTAATAGTTTACAAGGTAGCTTTTTAGTCGTTATTTTGCAATGGCAGCTTGGGGTAGTGGCTTCAAATATATGATACATGAAATTAAATCCCAGCTCAAAACTTAATGGCCATATGGGACTTTGGTTTTGTTACCTTTCTAAGCCTTAGTTTCTTCCTCTAAGGACAAAAACGGTTACCTCTATGTTGTATCAGATATTGTAGATAAATATATAATGTATTACTACTAATAATGCATGTGAAGTTTCTCAGTGAAAGTCCTGTGATTGAGCAAGGGGCACGTTTCCGGCTGCTCTGCTGTGTGGTCTGGATCGGCGGCCCAGGCCAGGTGGCAGGTTCAGTAAAGTCATTTGCTAGTAACTCATGGGATCCTTAGCACAGGGTCCTGGTACCTGGTCCAGCTTTGTGTTATTCACACTGGAAAGGTAGAGTGATATAGGTTTATGCCTAGAAAGAAAAAATTCTCACAGAAAAAGAAAAGTGAAGAGAAACTGAAGATTGTGGTAAATGAGCCAAGCATGGTGGCATATAACTATATTCTTAACACTAGGGAGGCTGAGGCAGGGGGATTGCTGCAAGCAAGGCCAGTCTGGGCTGCATAGGTAGCTCACAGCCAACCTAAACTACATACATGTCTCAGAAAAACCAGACAGAAAAAGCAGTCATGGTGAACGGGTGATGAGGGAAGCATTCTGAGTGAGGAGGGTGTGAACTCTTTCTGAAGCAGATGCACTCATCACGTTGCTTGTCTGAGGGACACTTGAGCACCACGGCTGCAGTAGGCACCTTCTCAGATGGGTGCAGGGCTGTGGCCACTGGGCCCCACTTCTGCCTCCTGACCTGACTTTGCCCTCCACTGCTCTCAGTGGTTTTCTGGTCATTTCCAGGCATCTTCCGCGTCAGTGTCCCCTGATCTCTGGTCTCAGCCTGTTCTCCCGACACAGCAGTCTCTACCCGCACCTGCCCGTGATTCTGCGGCCCTGATGACCCGTCCCTCTGGTTTACTCAGTCTGGTTTACTCCTGAGTCCCCAGCAATGGGCTGGAAGTCCCACCCCTGAAATGCTCTCAGGAGCAGGCCTTGGCCAGGGCTCTCCAACTCCTCTAGAGAGCCCAGATCATCTTAGCAGCTCTCTTGTGCTGGAAGGTCACTTTGCCAGCAGCTTGAGTCACAAGGGGACTTGCGGTGTCACACTGGAAACCAGGATCATCCCACCCACCTGCCTGGCTCAGTGTGCTATAGGCTGTGGTCCTCCGCAGGGCTCCTCTTCCCTTCGCACCAGGGACTCGTTACATCATACCAGTGCCTGCTAACTCTGGGCTGCCCTGCCAGGGTCTTGGGGCGTGGACGGTGCAGAGGCTCCTCTTGGCTCTGCACAGTCTCCAGCTGCTGTCCCCTCCTGCCTTTCCAGCTGCTCTTCCAAGCTGGCCAAGTGTTCTCCTGAGAGCACAGGCAGGTCATTTCATTCCCCAGCTGCCTCGGTCCGGAGCAGGCTGGAAGGATGGGAAGTGCGCATCCGCGGCAGTGCAGGAAGGAGCTTGGAGCTTAGCACTCTCAGCTTAGTTTCTGGCAGATTATCTTGAAAGAGGAGTACAGTGAGCAGCTGTTTGCCACAGATTCCATACTAACTATTTGCCACATTTTTTTTTTTTTAAATTGGGGTAAAGGCAGCACTGCAGACTGCACTCAGGGCCTGTGCTCTGCCCATTCCCTAGTTTTATATTTTAAGATGGGATCTAAGTCACTGAGCTCCTATAGTGGGCTTGAAACTGAGATCCTTCTGCCTTAGCCTCCAGAGTGCTGAGGTTATAATCTACAGGCTTAGGTCAGTTTACTTTATGCTGAAACTGTGTGCTGTAAATATGAGGACCCCTCACTCCTGAATATTTCAGCATCCCCTGAAAGGCGAATTGAGACATTTTCTCTATCATATTTATCACTATTGTGTGCAAGGATATAAATTACTTTATAGTATTATCTGTAACTATTCATTGCTTACAGCTGGGGCTGCTGCTGGGTGGCTCTGATTGGAATGTATTGGATCCTGCCATCTTGAACCTCCAGGAGTACCTGCGTGATTGTCCATTCTTGTCCATCCAGCGGCATGGGACAGTCCTGTGGAGTGGCTCCAGCCTGTGGGAAGATGCTAATGAACTAGAGAGTGACTTCTGGCTGTGTTCAGCTCCTCTGCTGCTCTCCCTTTCCACAGGGCAGGGCACAGTCCCAGCTTTGATCTGCCAGTATGACATGCACCTTGTCCCTGATGGGCCCAGCCTCTCACCCAGGCATTGGGCCTCTCCTTTCAGGTTCCAGCTTGGAATCTACTGACCTTGGGGAGCCTGCTCTGGTGAACGATTGCTGGGAGCTGGCTACCTGGTCCTTTGTGGACATGAAGCTAGCTTCCCTGAGCGTTTGGGTGGGCCCTTATCTACAGAAGAAAGGGGACGTATCCAGAATAGTAAAGGAAGGTGGGAGCTAGACTGAGATGTTTGGAAGAACTTCCATGCCAGACTGGAGGATGCAGACTTTCACAGAGTAATTTGACAGCTATTTAAGGCTGAGAACAACAGGCAGGGTGCTCTTAGGTTACTAGTGGCTAGAACCATAGCACCCGCCTTGGCTTGTGACTGCTGAAGGTACAGACCCTGGGGCACTGTGGTCTTGTTAGCATCACCTGAAGCCTCTGTACAGCACCCTCCTTCCCCTCACCCTCACAGTGTCATCCAAGCCTGTCAGCCCTGTCCGGCATTTCTTCCATCTCGTCCCACTCCTCAGCTGTCATTCTGTCTTGCTGTCTCTTTAAAACATGTGCTCCCGGTGGCAGGATACACCTACAATCCCATCACTCTGGAGGCTGAGGTAGGAGGATCACTGTGAGTTTGAGGCCAGCCTGAGCTACATAGTGAGTTCAAGGCCAGCCTAAACAATGTAGTCAGACCCTGTCTCAAAAAAGAAGGTTAAAAAAAAGACAGGTACTCTTTATCTTCTCCTCATCCCCAAATGATCTAGAACAGATTTCTATGGCCTGGGTGTCCCTCATTGCAGGCTACCATTTGTTCCCTGGTTTCCTGGTCACATTTTGGTGTTACGGATGTCTCTCTACTCATGTCACTCTCATTGGCTTCTTCCCAAAGCTTTTTAAAATTGTGGGCCTGGGGCTATAGCTCAGTGCAAGGTACCTGCTTGGCAAGTGCAAGGCACTGAGTTTGATTCCCAGTTCATACATACATCTTCTCCCCCTCAGGCTGTTCAGGCCTCTCCTTGAATGTAAGATCCTCTGAAAGACCTCTGCTGACCAACCTCTTCATTATCTACTTCCCTTCTTTGCTTTTTCTTCATAGAACATATGGTTTCCCAACAGTGTGTCTTAGTTATTTTTTTCTCATTGCCAATACAAAATACCCGATACCAAAGTTAAAGTAGGAAAGGTTTATTTGGCTCACAGTTTGTAGGGGTTTCAATCCATAACTGGCTGGCTCCGAGGCAGGGCAGCGTGGCAGAGGGGCGTCGCAGATGAGAAACAGTTTCTTGGTGAGCAAAGGCTGCAAAGCAACGAAGCAGCGAGCAGCCAGCCACAGGGAGAAGCAACAAGTGGCAGGGCGGCGGCTGCTGCTTTCTGCTCCTTTTTATTCTATCTGGGCCTCCCACCCTTAGAGCAGGGGGTAATCACACCAAGAAGCATGCCAAGTCAACCAGGAGACTGCTTAGTAAGCACACCACCACAGCTCCCTAGAGACAGCTACCTCTGAAATAGCCCTGCCCATGCCCAGCAAGGCTTTGCGGGGACAGCTCGACGGGAAGGCTAACAGTCTGTGAATTGCTCATTTACTTACTTTTTTGCCCATAGTTTCGGATAATACATGAGATTCTAGCTTGATGTCACCTGCATCCTGCTGGTTCACAGTGTCACAGAGCACCTGGCCCCCAGAAGGGTCAGGTGATGGCTTGGAATCTCCTAGGTGTTCTTTCCTTGGGTTGGTGCTGACCCTTCTGCAGTTGGCACATATTCATGCTTCCCGGAAGGACTTGTGTGTTCACAACAGGTCTTGTGCGCACGCAGGCAACTGTCTCCCCTCTCTCTGAGGAGACTGATGTGGGAGTGTCACCTCAAGATGTCTTTATCAAAAATCCACTTCAGAGTCAAGACCTTGCTGAAACCGTCTTGCTTACTTCATGGGAGCAGAGCAGATTTGCAGGCTTTTCATTTGGAAAGGGAAACACTGCCCATTTCTGTTTGTTTTTATGTCATCAGTGGGAAGGGAGTGTGGTGGCCAATCTCTAGGCTCGGCTTAATGGAGGAAACCCAGCCACATCAGTGGTTCTGTAGCAAGCACAAGTATCTGTGTTTCCGTGGGCCTTACAGAGTATTGCAGGCAGGTACCTGAGCACAGAACCTGTCACACTGAGAAATCAGAAATACAAACAAAATCCCTTTCCCTCCAGTTGTGTTCTTATGCAACTAAATTTTTAAGGTAAATTACCTGGTATTATTTAGGGCACATGGTGAGTAGAATAACTATTTACAAACCTAAACCAGGAGGATAACAGCGTGTCACAAAAGAGACTTTGCTTGCTGAACACGAGGGATAGTAAATGCAAAGAAACTGTATTTAAATGTGTGGTGATGGTGTCTCTGATGGTGTTTCTTCATCATTGAATCACACAGTTCTTAGAATATGGGTTTTTTTTTTTTTTGTCTTTTTCCTTTTTATCGGTACCAGGGATCGAACTCATGACTGCCTGCTTGCAAGGCAGGCGCTTATGCCGCTGAGCTAAATCCCCAGCCCCTAGAATATGGTTTTAAAATCAACAGCTAGGAGTGGGTGGCAGGTTGCGGATGGACTCCTTTCACTTGAGTGCTCTCTGAGAGCCGCCAGCTGAGTGCCAGTCATGGAGCGAAGCAGAGTGTTCCAAAGTTCTGGGGCCATGGGGTGTCTAACACAGTTTTGCCCTCTTTCTTGAATTATGTGGCCAAAAGACACTTAGTTCATTTTAGGAGTGCCCAGCTTTGTATAAGCAGAGGGACTCTCCCAAAGCAGGTGTCTAGTGTTCTGCCCTGACCAGACAGTTCTGCTTAATCTTTAAGTACCATTTCTCACTGGCTTGTGTAATAAAAGTGACAGTTACATTTGAGTCTCACTGGAAATCTAAGCTCATGTGGCAGTTTGTGGTTTGGTGGTGGAGATGCTGACTTGGCCTCAGGTCTTCCCTCTGGACCTCACACTTCTTGGCTGGCCAATCAAGGCATGACTTAGACTTAGTTATCTGGAAGGTCCTCAGCCCAGGAAGCCCTGGAAGCCTGGCCTTTGCCTGTGGTGGAGATTCTCTTGGGTCACTCTGAAATTGAGAGTGACTAGAGGAAGTAACAAATTCATGTTTGACCTCTGAGATTGCCTTTATGCCCCAGGCAATGTGGGAGACCTCTGGAGTCTTTCATGTCTAGAACTAAGCCACATAGATTGGTACCCCCCTTGAATCTGTGGTAATCAGCTACGGTCACAAGCTTCAGGAGTGGTGGGGCCCAGGACTCTGGCAGTCGGCCGTGTCGGTGAGCTGCACTGACAGCAGTGCTCTGTGGACCTCTGAGTGTCTCACAGCTGCGGCCCGTTAGGGAGCCAGGGCTGGTCAGATGAGGAACAGCCTGTGCCATGCACAGTGGACCCCTTGGGGCAAACCTGAGGCAGAGGAAGAGAGGAGCAGGAGGACGGGCAGCGTTTCCTGGGCAGTCTAGGTGCGCACTCGTGTGGAAAGAGTTTCAGAGATGGAGGCAGAAAATACTGAACTCTTGTCTAGTTCAGCTGAGCAGGATTCTGAGTCCTTATGATTCCAGATCTTTTTACAGAGGGAGGTTTTATACCTGGCACACATTGTGTGTTCACAGGGACCACTCGTGTCCATCACTAACTGTCATGCTGTTTGCCCATCCAGCAAAAACCCGGGCGGCCGATTTGTTGGTGAACCCCCTGGATCCTCGGAATGCAGATAAAATTAGAGTAAAAATTGCTGACCTGGGAAATGCTTGCTGGGTGGTAAGTAGTTTTTTTTTCTAAAACATGTTGTTTATGGTCTGGGCCTAGTGGAGGCTGGGGCAAAAGAATTCTCATAAGTTTGAAACCAGCCTGGGCACCATAGTGGGTTTAAGGCCTGCCTAAACTGCATAGCAAGACCCTGTCTCAAAAAAAAAAAAAAAAGCTAGGCATGGAGTCGCATACCTGTAACCCCAGCACTCAGGAGGCTGAGGCAAGAGAATTGCCGTGAGTTTGAGGCCAGCCTCAGCTACCAAGTGAGCGCAAAACCCTGTCTCAAAAACAACAACCCAAAGACCTGTTGGCCATGATTCTGTGATTCTGGCAGATGACAGCACTCTTCCTTTCCTGATGTCTGTGTTCCTCCTTGGTGATGTGCCTGTTCCCTTGCAGCACAAACACTTCACCGAGGACATCCAGACGCGTCAGTACAGATCCATAGAGGTGTTGATAGGAGCGGGCTACAGCACACCTGCAGACATCTGGAGCACGGCATGCATGGTAAGGGCAGCGGGGCTGTGAGCTTCGTGTCGCCTGGCCCTTTGCTTCCGTGTTTCTAGGGGTGGAGGGCTGAGGCGCTGCCTGGGCTCAGCTTCTGAACGTGAAGCTCAGCACCAAGGCTGGGCATGGAGGAATGAGGAGCATGCGCCTCACTGGGTTGCCTTCATGGGGTCTGAGTCTGTCTTGTGAGTGCTGGGCACTACTGAAGGCCCCGTGCAGCCATCGAAGGTGGTGGCTCCTGGGGGACATCCCATTTTTCTGGAACGAGAGGCGGACTGTGAGACGACCGCTCTCTCAGGAGGCTGGCACCTGCCAGGTCGGCCAGACGTGTGGCCTCCTTATCTCTTTGCTGGTGTGGGAGGGATTCCCCATAGGCCAGGGAGTGGTCTCTCTTCATACAGTAAAGTCCAGAGTGGATCTGGACTGCGAGAGACTTGCGGTCACCTCTGAGACAGCCATAGGCACCTCAGCCTCAGATGGCTTCCAGAGAGCACAAGGCGCCTTCCTGGGGCAGTTCCTCCCTGCTGCGTCCTGAGCTGTGTTCCAGCCTTCATCCCCTGCTGCCCATCTGTGGCGTGATAAACATTGCTGTCCCTTTATCCCCTCCCGGCACCCTAAGGCTGACTGGCCACCTTCCCCTCGGTAGGCTTTGCTGTCGCTCTTGAGTGAGCCAAGGTGGGGCGTGTAGCTGTGGCCTGAAATTGAGAGTGACTAGAGTAAGTGACAGATTCGTGGAGCCTCCTGCCTGTGCTATTTCCTGGCCTCCGGCACCTGAAGGAAAGGGCTCCTGTGTGGGGCTTTCTGGGACTTCTCCCCAAAAAGAAGCCGCCCAGGATGATGGGAGGTTGTGTGGTTTGGAGCTTGACAGTTCTTTTGAGTACGCTATAATTTTTGTGTTCTTTAATTTGGAATAAAAGTATTGTTTTAAGCAGATAGTAACAGACAATAGAAGAAAAAAGCTGATGTTTTGTGTCTCTGGGGTAGCATGATCTATGGCAGTAAAGAGGGCCAGGTAGCTCTGATATGCTTTCGAGCCCCTTATGGCTCTGAAGGATAATGTAGATAATAGTTTTTAGATTACTAAAAATGTTAGCTTTTTGGTGAATGTCACAAGGCAAAGCCCTGCCTCAAAAGGCATGGAGAGTTCTGGTTGATGGAAGTGGCAGGTGTGGTGGGGGCTTTGAGCATGGTACTGTTGTGCAGAGATCTGGAACAGCCAGGCTGTGGGGGCCTGAGCCCCATTTCAGGAGGCCAAGCAGCCCTGTGCCCAGTCTCATGGAAGGCCACACATCAGGGCTGCCCTGAATTAGACTCTTCAAACTCTTTGAATTCCAAAGTCTTGTACTTCTAATTTTGGATATTATGTTTCATGATATAACCAGAAAAATAGGACAAGGTCACAGGTGTGGGCATAGACAGGACAGCCTGAGACCAGGCTGGCCATCTGCCTCGCGCAGTTAGGGTCCATGCCACACTGCAGCCCCTTGTCTGCCATTGCTCTTGCTGTGGCTGTGCTTACACGGGAGCCCGTCACAGTAACCCTGACCTAACCCTGACCCAGCTCCTTCCCTGGCCCCTCCCAGGCATGCAGGGGGCACCCTCGGTGCTGCAGGGGCTGCTTGTGAGGTGGTTTCTGCTTATGTGGTTTTAAGAAGGGCAGACCCTCCTTCATTGCCCCTAAGGGCAGCAGCCAACAGGTCTCTTCCTTGTTTTTTTCTAGAGAACGTGGCAGATCGGAGCTTAAAAATATTGCATCATTTGATGCAAAACTGGATCTTTTAATGTCAGGCCTTAACAAAGCTGGAGACTGTTCTTGGTGATGAATCCTGCAGCCCATGCACAGCACGAAGTCAGTGAGGCCTCACTGTACAGCGGGTATGCGTGCCCCTGCTACTGTCAGGGGAGCCTCTTGAGTGAGAACACCAGACAGTCGTTAGAGTCTGCTCTCCTCTTGCACGGGCACTGGATTGTTGCAGACGTAGCTCAGTGGTGTAGGACCTGGATTCGTGCGGGCTGAGACATTTCCTCTGCCTGCATGGCTCCCAGCTCCTGGTAGGTAGCTTTGCATGGGCTCCTCAGTGGATCCTAGGCAGTGCTGCAGCCTCCAGAAGAGCTTCACCAGACCTCTTCACCGCAGCACATTATTTACTTAGAACTGAGAGCATTTCAGGAACCCCTGCCCCCCAACCTGAGGATAGCACTTGTTTTGGGGTAAAGCTCTTGTAAAGGGATGGGCTGAGCACAGAAGGAAGTCTCAAGCATTTCAGTAATAATAATTGTATTGGAAGGAACTTGTGAAGTGCAGAGGCCCAGGGTATTAATGTGTGTGGGCCCTTTAGCCTATGTCGTATTAAGAAAACCTAGTCATGTTCTGCAGAACTAGGAGTAACCACTTTCTCTCTTGCTTTTTTTTTTTTCTGTCTTTTTCCTTTTTATCGGTACCAGGGATCGAACTCACGACTGCCTGCTTGCAAGGCAGGCGCTTATGCCGCTGAGCTAAATCCCCAGCCCCCCTCTCTTGCTTTTTAAAGCAATCATCATGTAAATAGACTTGGTTAAGCATCTGCCTGTTGGAAATGCATGGGATTTGTCCTGTTGTTTTTTGATTTTAAAAACATAAGATTTGGGGGCTGGGGATTTAGTTCAGTGGCATAAGCACCTGCCTTGAAAGCAGGCGGTCGTGAGTTCGATCCCTGGTACCGATAAAAATGAAAAGGGCGAAAAAAAAAAAGATTAAAAAAAAACCCAAAAAACATTGGATTTGAAGCTGGCCATGGTACCACACATCTGAAACCAAGGCAGGAGGATTGCAAGTTTGAACCCCGGCTGGGGTGACTTAGTGACTTAGCAAGATCCTGTCTAAAATTTAGAGAAAATAAAATTTAAAAAAAAAATTGCTGGGAATATAGCTCAGTGTACTACAAACCAAACCAAAACAAACCAGAAAGCCACAGTAGTCAGCAGAGCAGTATCACCTCTGTCTCTCTGTGTTGATTCCAAGTTAAACTTATAGCCTTGAGACCTGGCAGACTGAGGGGTCATGGGCAGAGTCAGGGAGCAGCTCTCCTTGGCATCCTCAAGCGCACTGGGGACCATGAGGAGGGTCCTTCTGGGTTTCTTTTGCTTGAGTCCGAAATGAATGAAATGAGAGTGAAAGTGCCCTTGATGCCTGAAGCACGAGTATTGTTGCTGAGCAAAGGCAGCAGCCTCCACTGTGCAGGCCGCTCAGTGCCTTGGAGGGGGCAGCCCTGGTGCCGAGGGCCCGTTGGGCTCCTACCCTGACCTTGCATGCCACCTGGCCTGCACTTAGAGCTGTGGTTCTGCTTCCCACAGTGTAAAGAGAACATGCTGCTTCGTCTTCCATGTGAAGAGATGTAAAAATATCCTGGAGCTTCTTTGGATCTTTTGGGAGAAAGAATAAAGAGACTGAGCTGTTTCAGGAGGTGCTTTGGTTTGCCTGAGAGGCTCTGAAAATGCAGTCCCCAGGGGAACGAGCGCTGGCTCGGGCAGACCACAGAGCTCCTGTGTTGTCTTTGTGTCCTAGGCTTTTGAGCTGGCAACCGGAGATTACTTATTTGAGCCACATTCTGGGGAAGACTATTCCAGGGATGAAGGTAAGTTGCTGCCTGCAGAGCACCGCAGTCTGGGATTGCTCCTCACCCCGACCTCCAGAGAGTATGACGTTGACTGCTGAACCAGAGCCATGCATTGGTTTTCAATTTCCAAATTCACACGCTTTTCCCTTGAGTTTGAAGCCCCTCAGTGCCAGCAAATGAGCAGCGCCTACTCGGCACAGGCAGCTCGGGAGAACCCTTGGCCCCTCTCCTCCCAGCCTTGTCAGTGCAGAGCCAGTGGCTGGAGAGGACAGGCACAGCAGGCCCCAAAGCCTCTCCGTGGGCCTTTGTCCACTGAGCTCTTGCCCAGTTTGCTGTCCTCTCTGGGAGCTGAGTTGAAAACCAGGGAATTCAGGCTTGAATTCCTTCTGTAATCCTGACCATCTCCATGCTTACTTGCTTGCAATGCTGGGGTGACTGGGGGAGCTGGTGTCAGTCACTGCTGGTGCTCCAGATGGTGCCTGATGCCTGCCAGCCCCACAAGCCTCTGCATGAATTGCTGCAGACATTGTTGATTTGAATCAGTATCTGATTTTTTACTAATTTTACTTTTCTCCCTCCTCTTTTATCCCATCCTTCCCTCTGCCCCTCCCATTCCCATATCCTTTTTTTTCTCTCCTCCATAGACCACATAGCCCACATCATAGAGCTGCTAGGCAGTATCCCAAGGCACTTTGCTCTATCTGGAAAATATTCTCGGGAATTCTTCAATCGCAGAGGTAGTACCTCTTCTTTTTGAAAAGCGCCACGATGCAGACAGAAACACAGTAGTAGCTGCTGGTTGCAGCATTAATGGTTTCAAAGACATTTCTTCTAAATTTTAAAGCAACTCAGAAGAACTCCTGTGCTGATTTAAAAGTTGACAAGAAGCCCAAGTTTGGCCTGAACTGCAGTGACCCTGTGCAATGGCCACTGCATGGTGCCCGGGACGGTCCCCAACCCAGCCACCTGGGATGAGCGTGTGTTTTTGCTCTTGACCATTCTGGTCGCGCTGTTTCTGTCTGCGCGGGCGACGGTAGTGTCTGCATGCAGTGTACTGATTAAACTGTCGTGTGTTTCTGTTTTGCTGGCAATGTTTCCCAATGCAGATCACATAGCATTGATCATTGAACTGCTGGGGAAAGTCCCACGAAAATACGCTATGTTGGGGAAATATTCCAAGGAGTTTTTCACCAGAAAAGGTAACGGTATTTATGCAACACTACTTTTCAGCATAAGCCTCTCCCAAAGGGAGAAATTGTGCATTCATGTCTGAGCAGTGACGAAAGCTCTGGAGTGTACACCTGGGGAAATCATCTGAGGAAAGTTCTCAGGAAACAAGCCTGCATCATCTGGTGCCTGGGAGTGAGTGTGAGCAGACGGCCTCCCTGCAGTCTTCTCCCTCTGCCTCTTACCTCTCTTGCTGTATAGACGGCACCAGTCTGTTGCGTCAGATCCCTGTGAAAAGCACTCTTTAGGAGGCCTTCTGAAAGCAGCGGGGCTTTCTTTTGTCTTCTCTGTCACAGACCCATTGTGGGACCCAGGCAGCCTGGAGCCTGAGCCTGAGCCTGCTCCGTGACCTCCTGCACTGAGTGGAGCGGGCGTGGCATGTCATGTTCCCGGCTTCCTGTCTCACGGTTGCACAAGTTAGTTTTGTGGCGCTCGCTGCCTTCCCTTGCGATGCCTGCAACAGCTATTTCTCTGCCCTGTGCAGTCTCAGTTAGTGATCAGGTTTCAAAAATACCCAGAAGCCCCATGGAATATTTTTCCATTATTTGAGACTTTTTGGAGAGCCCCTTTCACATGCTGTTTTCTTTTGTAGTAAACTCCAGCTTAGATTTGTTTTTGTTTGCAAACTCCTTTAATAAAGAATTTTTGAAGTTGGTTTGAGTGTAGGACATCGTGGTTCTAGAAATTTTTTAGACAGGGTCTCGCTATGTAGTTTAGGCTGGCCTTGTACTCATAGTAATCTTCCCGCCTCAACCTTCCAAGTGCTGGAATTACAGACCTGCGCCACCACGCCCTGTATCCCCAAATACTTTTATCTCACACTCTGGTTTTGCCAAATTTGTAGAAGCATTTTGTTTTTGTTTTTGAGATGGAGTCTTGTTGCATCACTCAGTTGCCCAGGATGTGCTTGTACTTGAGATCTTGCTTCAGCCTCCTGGAGTGCTAGGAATGCTGTTGGGTGCCACCAAATCTGATTTTTATTTTCTCACGGAGTAAAGTTCCCCTCTCCACATACAGACGCACATACGCAGGCCGACACAGTGAAATGGCTTTGCTGGGAAGCCATGTCCCACAGTATACTGCAGTGGGGCATGTCTCGGAGTCTCTGCATTTGAGGTCAAGGTAGTGTAAGAAGGTATCAGATGATACTGTAGCATGTGATTCCATAGCTGCTATTAAGCTGTTAATTGCTAAAGCAAAGTTAACAGAACGGCCAGGCAGGGATGGGCACGTGGTTGGGGTGAAGCCTCACCTGGCAAGGGCCCAGGACAGGTCCTGGGAGCCGCAGAGACTCTCTGGGCTGCTGGAAGATGGTATTTGAAAGGGGTCAGGCAAGGGGAAGCTGTGCACCAGCGCAGCCTGTGTTCCTCACGCCCATCTGTGCCGGGGAGGGCAGGGAACGTGACAGCCCCCAGCAAGTGGGCCAACTTGCCTGGACCTGTGGCCAGCCGGAGCCCAGTCTCCTTCGGCACCTGATGATCCGTGGAGGGGAATGAGGGGTGTCAAGAGCCTAGTTGTCTCGAGGGCTGGCAGACTGAACACTCAGGGCTTCTTACAGAAGCGGTAAAGCCAGGGTCCCAAACCCAGGGCCAAGTGCCTGCTAGGCAAGTGCTCTGCCACTGAGCTACATCCCCGGGCCTTTTAAAATTTTATTTTGAAGCCTGGTGGTGCATGCCTGAATCCCAGCATGTGCTTGTCTTGCTGAGTTGCCAGGCTGGCCCTGAGCTTGGGTCCTCATCCTGGAGTAGCTTCGATTCCAGGTGGGGCACTGTGCTAACCGTGCAGGAGCGACAGGGAGGCAGGAGAGCAGCTCATTTGAAGGGGAGCTGTGTTTTGCATCCTTCTTTGTGCCAGACTGAGGACATTTCCACTTGTCGTCACTGTGTTATTAGACTGCCCCTCCTTTGGATGTAAGGGAGAGCTTATCATAGGGCCAGAAATCCCCTAAAATGACTCAACTCAAGTTCTTTCCTGGTAAGTGTTTACTGACTATGGCTATGCTGATCAGAAGGAATTCAGAGTCTTGACAGAAGTCACAACAATATTATGAGGAGCAAGAATGAGTCATGAGAATAGGTTTCCTCAGGTCCCTAGGGTGAGGGGGTGGCTTGCTGGGATGCATTTTTGCATGGCCCGCAGCTTCTGTGCGTTTGCTGATGGTGGGAATCTGGGTGCAGCCAGTGCAGCCCACCCCAGGGCTGTGTTCTTTTGACCCATTGATAGCTGTTCCGTTATTTTAGTAGAAAGCACTTGATGGGGAATGGAAGCATCAAAGGATATGGTTTACGTTGGAGAAGCCTCAGGTGCGCTGGGCTGATGCGAGGGCTCTGCGCATGCAGTGGGCCGGGGGCATGTGGTCTGTCTCCCGCCCACCCCGTGCCCTGCCCTGGGATGAGTTGCAGGCATCAGCATGTGGGCGCCTTGGTGCCAGAGCCAAGCACAGTGCGCTGCAGGAGGGTAGAGTGGGAACCCTCAGCCGGGAGGGAAGATGAGGAGGTTTTAACGCCCAGGCGTGGACATTAAAACTTGGTGTGAGCCGCCAGCGTGCTCCCGGGAGGAAGGGCTGCCTGGGGCTGTCTTCTCAGCACAGCGGTAGCTAAGCAAAGTTTCCTCACGCTGTCACTGAGCCTTGCCGGTGACACACACAGGTGGACTACTTTCACCACAGCTTCGTCTTGAAACACGAACTCCAAGCTCTGAAAAGCCTGGGTTCGTTGCCGGAGGTGGCTGGGGGCTGGATTCTCTCTGCTCTGAGCTGTCTGAGAAGGGCTCGGCCCGGTCTGCTGCCGCGCACTCGTGCCTGGCCGGGAGCAGGTTCGCTGGGCAGGCACTGGCAAGGTGCAGGTGCACACCTGTGTGCAGCCTTGGGTTCAGGGCGGGAGCTGGTGGGGTGAGGGCTCTGCTGCCCGGCAGTGCTGCTCACTTCGGCCTCCTGGAGCCCAGTGCTGGCCCCTGTGGGTGGACTTGTGTTGACAGACGGGACCACACTGAAAGAAGCTGTGCCCTGGAGCCACCCAAATCACAGCGAAGACATTCTGTGCAGCAGCAAACCCAGGCCACAGCAGCAGGCTGCTTTGGGTGTTTCCGTCCTGTCAGCATGTAGCCCCATGATGCAAAGAGCAGTGAAATCATTGCTGTAACGGGTGTCAGGTCGTTTCCACACACAGGTGGCTGTCCCTCATCCGCAGCACTCGAGACCAAAGGGCTTTTACACCTCACTTTTCCTCACGTTTTGGAGTTTTAGTGCATATGTGTTATGCAGTGCCTTGGATATCGGACGCAGATCTAAACATGTTTCATTTGTTTTGATTCTGGTGGTGGGGATCAAACCCAGGGCCTCCCAAGGGCTCACTACCGAGTGACATCCTGCCTCCTCTAAAGGATGAGACTGTATGCCACTGCACTTCTCGCGTGGGGCAGGCATGGATTGTCCGTGCCCTGTGGCACCAGAGCACTGTGGACTCTGGACCGGGCTGGTCCCCAGTCATGTCCCCATGTGCCCCATCACTTCCTTTGATTTACAAGTGATGAAATGCTTACTCTTTTGAATTCGTTATTTTATTGTCTGTGTTGTGCCATTTTTATTGTGTATGCCCATTTTAAAAGAATAACTTCACTGTGATACAATCTGCAGGCCCTACAGTTGCCCCTTCAAAGGGCATACAGTGCAGTAGTTTTTAGTGTGTTCACAGAGTTGAAAGAAGGTTACTATTACTTCACTCTAGAACATTTTCATCATCCAAAGAACCTCATTCACAGTCGCTGTTAATCTGTTGATCCTCACCCCGAAGCAGTGCTGCTGCTGTGTCTGCGAGCCGGTCCGTGTGGGATGTGTCCTGCAGGAGGAGCTGAGCAGTGCGCTGCTGGCTTTTTCACGTGGCTTCCTCCTTGCACTCAGTGCAGGGCTTTCAAAGCTCATTCGGTTGGAAGCTGAAGCTGCGTCCTGTTCTGCAGAGGGGCAGATGCGTTCTGTGTCACCGCATGTCGGGCGATGCTGCTTGGTGGTTCCTACATATCACATGGGCTGTTGTGCTGATACCCATGTGGTCGTGGACGTGCACGCTGTATGTGGCTGCATGTTTCCAATTCTCTTGAACGCACACAGTGGCATTCAGGTGCAGTTCTTACTCTGCACACTGTCCTGTTCTTACTTGTGCTTTAGAGCCCCTCGGAAGGCGTTACTTGAAGGTCATGAAGTTTTCTCTTGTTTTCTCCTTGTTTTCTCCTCCCTCATGGTTTAGTCCTGTGTTCCATCTGGAATTAATTTTAGTATATGGTGTGAGGTAGGATTTACACACATTTTGAGTCCAAATATTTACCTACCTTTATTTCATCTACTTGCATACGAATTCATCCGTGTTTCTCAAATGTTGTCTTTGGCTCTGTACAGTACTTATGGTAGGTTTCCCATGCGTGCAGTACTGAAATTTAGCATCATTTAGTTTACATTATGATTTACTTTATTGTTACCAACAGTCACTGAAATACATTCCCAGTATTTGCCTTTATAGACCTGCCACGAGAATGCGAAACCTCCTGTGATTCTTAATTCTGAACTCTAACTTCATGGAAAAAGTAACACATCTTCCTTCACAAATCAGTTAACATTCCAGAGAAGTGTCACACGAGTGCCTGCCGAGCACACTTGTCCTCTGGGACCAGCCGGTACTATTGCTGTCGCAGCCTCTGTCATCCACCCCCCCCCCCCAGCTTCCTGTTGGGTACCTGCCTCTAGCCCAGCATCTCACAGAGATTCGGAGACCGAGGTCCTGGGGACCAGCGCCCAGCAGCGCTGCTGCCCTGTGAGCTGAGCTTGGCAACTGGGGGTCACAGGAGTCCAGTCTTGCTCCAGTTCTAAAGCAAGCAGGTAGAGTGGAGCAGGGCACTGCCCTGGGGCTACAGTCCTCAGCACCCCCACAAAGAGAAGCCACAATCCAGCTCTTTTTTTGTTTCTGTTTTAAGTAAACACTGTCACAATTAAGTGTGTGTTTAAGTGAAGTATCATCTTTGTATGTTTTCTAAAGAAAAAATTATCAGGGCACCAATTCTTCAGCAGAGTAGGGAGTTCATTTTATGGCTGAAGTCCCAGCAGCCGTTCCCAGCCCAGAATTTCTCAGTCCATCCCGTATGGGGCTGCTAGTGTGTAAATGCATGCCCAGGATCTGTCTTTACCTGCCTCTCCCCACAGCCCCACGGAGCCCATGCTGTCCTGTGAGACCTCACACGGTGGCTTCCATGTCACGGCTGCCATGTGTCTGGCGCCTTGCTAGGTGCTAGGGTTATTTGCAGTTGTGTGTTCGCTATTTTAGGCTGTATCTTTGCAAATAGGGGTTTCTAAAAATGTAAGATTACTTATCCAGAAATATGTTAGAGAGATTGTTCTTTGTAGATACTACTATTCGTCTACGTGTGTCTGGTTGTGTCTGAGTAGTTTTTCATGGCCTGGTATTTTCACGTCCTTACTGTGCAGCGGTAGACACATCTGAAAGCTGCAGTCCGTCCTGGGTGCCCTCGGCTTCCTCATCACAGTCTGCCAACCACAGATCTGAAGCCGTGTTTAGATTTGTGTCTGCTCAGCATGTAGAGACATGGCTGTCCCCTAAGCAGTGCCGTGTGTAGCGGTAACGGCCACACAGAGTGGGTGTGTGCTGTGCGAAGTGTGTGTTCACACGCTCTGCCGTTCCACCTGAGGGCCTTGGGTACCCTTGGACTTCTCTCTTGAGTTTGGGGCACGTTCCTGGAGCCAGTCACTGTGGAGACGGAGGGTGACTGTACTTAGCTTTATTTAGGGGTGAGTTGTTTTTTTGGTTTTGGGGGGTTTTAAAGAATTTTTCTTTTGAAAGCTTGAATTTTATCACTGGTAATAAATATTGCTCCATTGATGTGATGGGCCCATCTTGTTCAGTTTGTTGTTCTATTTTGGTGCTGAAGATTGAACTCAGGGTGTTCTATATGTAGGCAAGCACTATGCCAAGGAGCAGTGGCTCCAGCCTGACTTTTTTTTTTTGGTGCAAGGGTCAAACTCATAACCAAAGCACCTCCAGGCAGGTGCTTGATGCCGCTGAGCTGAATCCCCAGCACCCCCAGCCTGACTGTGGTTAGTTTGATGGCTGTTAAAGGAACATCAGATGGAGGCTCTTGTGCTGTTTTGAGCAGACTGTGCTTCCGTATTCATTTGTTCCAAGACAGTAACTGAACAATCACTGACTTGTATGGAGCTTATTTTCGCTTGCCGTGTGTCGGCGCTCTTAGCTCTGCCTGCAAGTCAGCCAGATCCGTAACAGTCACATTACCGAAAATGTGAGGAGGAGAGAGAGAACCTTAGCACCGCCGGTGTCTTTGTGCATTTGGTTTCTCTTTTTAGTTATTTCACAGAGAACGTTGCAGGTACCTGCAGAAGACAGTTTGAGGCTGTCCTTGCATGGCTTGATGGTTTACCTTTCTCCCGCACTGTGTAGTAGTAAATAAAGATTCACCTAGCGGATGTACCATAGTTTATGTTTTTTTTTTTTTTTTGGTCTTTTTCCTTTTTATTGGTACCAGGGATCGAACTCACGACCGCCTGCTTGCAAGGCAGGTGCTTATGCCGCTGAGCTAAATCCCCAGCCCCTAGTTTATGTTTTTGAGCATGTATAATTTTGCAAATCTGTGTTCTGTGTTGTATTCAGCATAGATGGGGGTGAGGGAGACACCGCTGCCAGGATTCCTTTAGCTCTGGCCTCTGACCAGGGAGGAATCTCCAGCCCTGGCAAGTTTCTCCTGCACTGCCTTTCCTCCTCAGGCCAGCGCTGGCCCCTGCTTCCTCAGCTGTAGACCTGCCCTGCAATCTGGAAGCCACGCTCACTCTGCCCACACCTAGTTCTGGACAGAGGCTGGCTCAACTCTAGCCCCTTAGTGGGAGCCCTTTGAATGCATCCTTACGGGAGTGCTGTGCCCCATCCCAGCTCTGCGGGCACAGCCTTGCCATGGGGCACGTGAGAGCAGCCCAGCAGCAGCCACTGTGGGAGGGCTCCGGGCTTCTGCTTTTGCTTTTGTAATTTTGTGTCATATTCTTTTGTTATTGTACAGTTTCAAAGTGGTGGGCAGTGTTTGCAAATTGACTTGAATAATGAATGGAACGGGCCAGATAGACCTCTGTGCGAGAGGCACTGATTCTCTACTGAGACAGAGCAGGGTGGGCTGGGTGGATGGGGCTGGTGTTGCCGGCAGGGGAGAGCAGCCTCCGCTAGATTTCAGAGCTGCCCTCCCCCGACTTTGTCTTCCCGGTTCTCGGTTCTCGTTTCTCGAGAGAGAGGCCTTTTGCCAACACAGTCGCTCTGCAGGGTCAGTCAGAGCCACCTAGAACACCTGCTTACTGCGCTTTATACTAGAGCTAGCAATTTGAAAATTATAACTTCAAAGATTACAAATGTGTAGACGTGAACAGTGTGTGGCTGGATGGCCCAGTCCAGTAGCCAGTGGCTACTTGTGGCTTTTTAAGTTTAGTGAAAGTGAAATGTTACTTGAGTTGCCCAGTAGACACACATGGCCGCACAGATATAAAGCACATCTATGCCATCTGAGAGTTCAGTGCCATTCCGAGGAGACTCCCCTTACTCCCCTTTCTTTGTATCACATGGTACATCTTGTTAGCGCACTCTGTAAACAAGCTTGCAAGCTGCATGAGAGCCCGAGTTGGAGTGCTGGTGACTTCTGTATTAGATGAGAACGTTGTGGACTGGGCATGGTAGTGCGTGCCTGTAAGTTATCTCAGCACTTGGCTACACACGTTACCGCTACACATGGCACTGCTTAGGGGACAGCCAAGTCTCTACATGCTGAGCAGACACAAATCTAAACCCTTGCAAAGTCAAGCCCAGCTTGGGCAGCTTAGTAAGTTAGTGAGAACTTGTCTCAAAATACAAAAGGGCTGGGGATTTAGCTGAGTGTAAAGGTCCTGAATTCAGTTCCCAGTACTGCAAAGAAGAACTTTCTGGGCATTCTTAGCACATTCTGCTTAAAGAAACGTAGACCTGGTGTACATGAACTACAGTTAGCCCCCGTATACCCACCAAGCCCTCTTGAACTCTGACTTGGTCACAGTCAGACGCGGTTAGTGTGAAGGAGGGAAGCCAGCCTTCCTCCTGGTTGCCAGAGGTGTTGGCTGAGCAGGTAGGTAACTTGGCTGGGCCAGCTGTGGGGAGCGAGGAGCTGGAGCTCTCCTGACACTGGTGTTTCTCCCGGCAGGAGAACTGCGGCACATCACCAAGCTGAAGCCCTGGAGCCTCTTTGATGTACTTGTGGAAAAGTACGGCTGGCCCCATGAAGACGCTGCGCAGTTTACGGATTTCCTCATCCCGATGTTAGAAATGGTTCCAGAAAAACGAGCCTCCGCTGGCGAATGCCTTCGGCATCCTTGGTTGAATTCTTAGCGAACCTGCAAATACACATTCTGAGCTAGCGAGTGTTTTCCAGTCCATTGGACCTAAACCGTGACTCATTCTTTAACAGGATTACAAGTGAGCTGGCTTCGTCCTCAGACCTTTATTTTGCTTTGAGGTACTGTTGTTTGGTATTTTGCTTTTTGTGCACTGTGATCCTGGGGAAGGGTAGTCTTTTGTCTCCAGCTAAGTAGTTGACCATTTTCTTCTGGAAACAATAACCTGTCTCTAAGCATTGTTATCTTGTGTGTGGCATTCAAATGTCATTTTTATTTCGAATGAAAAATTCTTTCCCCTTTGTGTTTTGGCAGGATTTGTAACTATTTATGAAGAAATATTTTAGCTGAGAACTATATAATTTACACTCTTAAGAAATTATCAAGATGGAACCAAGAAATAGCAAGGATATGTACAATTTTATCTTCTGGCAAAGGGACATCATTCCTGTATTATAGTGTATTTAAATGCACCCTTGTAAATGTTAATGTCCATTAAATATGGGACAGGACCTAAGTTTCCGAGAAGCTCCCAAGCCCGAGTGCTATGCAGCTGGTGTTGCATGTGGCAGACGCACGCCCTGGCAGCCGTCACGGGGCGCGGGGCTCCTAGACGCCACTGCCTGTGCTGCTCTGCGAAGGACGGAGACATGCTTGTTCTAGCACGCATTCTGAGTTAGCAGTCCCATTTGTATTTTTGCATATTTTTAAGAGTACTTTTAAAGAAAAAAAGTGACTTCCCTTTAAAAATGTGACGGCCTGGTACCATGTGGTGTTGCCTCCTCCAAGCACTGTAAGTTAAATGCATAGATTAAACTGGACAAGAGAAACAGTTCAGTGTGTGGAATGACAATATATCCATTTTGAAAAAGCATGATCATGTTTTCTAAACAGGTGTGGAACATACAGTTGCAGTGTAGTGAGCAGCACACTCCTCACAGCCCAAGGTGGCAGTGGTCGCTCGCATCCATTCCCCAGGCAGCGTCAGGTGTGGCTACATGAATTCTACCAGCATTCTCGTCATCTTTCCATGAATGAGAAAATGATTTTCCCTCTGTGGGTTGCATTGTTTTTGTTTATGCATTTCTTCAAAATTAACTGTAGAGTCCAGGACACAAACCTTTATTAGTAGGCAATACAATTTTAGAATGTAATATATAGAGGTATATTTAGCCTCTTTTAGAAGTCAGTGGATTGAATGTTTTTATTTTAAATTTTACATTCATTAAGGTGCCTCGTTTTTCTTGACTTTGTCCATTAACATTTGTCCACACGCCTCTGCAATAACTAGATTGTGAAAAGCTAACACGTATTGTAACAATAACCTGTTGTTTGAGGTGCTTGCAGTTGTCTTAAAAATTAAAGTGTTTTGGTTTCTTCCCCCAGACATTGCCTTGGTCATTGCCCTGTATTTCAAGGGACTCAGCACACATGTGCTGCGTGACATCAGAAGCGAAGGGAGTGCCAGCATCCCCGTGGCAGCAAGGGTAGCTGTGGAGTGTGAAGTAAGGCTTTTTGTAAGGGCAGGATGGATTGAGGGAAGATGTTAATTCTAGATTCACTATCTAGAATTTCAGTGAGTCTTTCTTATCCATGCTTCACCACAAACCATTCTAATTGCATTTTGCTTGAGCATTTCCAACGTCTTTTTTTAAAACACCATTCATTCCTCAGAACAAGACACACATGCCCCACGCTGCTGTGAGGTGGCAGGTGCCGTTCAGTGATGAGATCCATGTGCTGTTTCTCTGATGAGGCTTAGGTCTCTGTGTCGGTGCTGGACAGAAGTTGGTTTAGACCAGTGATGCTCTCCGTGATTTCCATAGGGAACATTCTCGCAAGAACTGTGGAGTACATTCATACCTCCTGTGTCTTAGAAGAATTACCAGAATGATAGTACGCTTGATTAAAATTTGTGTTAGGTTTTAGTTTATGTTGGAACAGAAACTAGATTTTGCATTTTTAAGAAGCATCTCTGCTAAATAGCCTAACTAGTTTGCAGTGTCCAGCAGTTGCTCTAGAAGGACTATGATTTGTATTATGATTTGTGGCTTTTAGCAGATCCTTGGTGGCTTGTTGGTACAGAATGCATCAGGCGAAGGGAAAGCCGCTCTGTATGCTCAGTGTCAGTTCCCTGAGCAGAGTGTCGTGTCCTGTCTTTGCCCGTGCTAAGTCTTCATGGGAAATCACAAGCAGCAGATCAAGTGTGTGATGGCATCGGATCCAGAAGCCAGCTCTCTGGAAACTGGCAGGCAGAACTCCGAAAGGCAGAGGGAAGGTGGCCAGTGAGAGCGGCAGAGGCACACAGCTTTTGGGTGAACAGATTTACTACTTCATTCATTTTATCTGGACCAGATGTAACTTAACAAGATAAAGACAACTTACCATCAAACTATAGAAGCAGAAAACTTCTATAGTTTAACGTTTTTCTCCTGCTTCTTGAGATGAAAGTTTGATGGAGGACAATGGTATTTAAGGGTCTTCCTTCATCATAGCGTTATTTAATCCTCTGCAGTTTGTACATGTGCGTCTGTGTGCATTAATTAGCACTAGCGTAGGCCGCTCTGAAGCACTGAGCATTCAGGAATGCTCAGGCGGGTCCTCTGAGAGAGGTGAATGTGGGTGTTTTGTGTTCAGAAACTGTCAGGTGATGGGTGATGGAAGCCATTTCTTCTCAAATGTTTCCTTGGGAATGCCGTAAGCAAACTTTCGCTTTGCAAGTCAAGGATGGCAGAGTTGGTTTATGTTGTGAAACCTGAAGCTGGTTAGGATTGAACCCTAAGTGTGCTGTATGAATGCACAATCGTAAGCTAATTTTCAAAAGGAAATGAAAATTAAAATCATAAAACATGACAAATTACTACCAGATCTCAGTCATTCTTAAAGTCTGTTTACTTTTTTTCTGATGCACAAAATTTGTATACTGTGCCCAAAGTATGCCAAGTACTTGGTGAAAATCCAATGAGGTGGTCATTGGTACTCATTTTTTCACTCAGAAGTATTTTATATTTCAGCCATAAATATTCTATCTTTATTTATTGCCTTTCTCTTATTTATTCCCAGACCAATCTGAAGAAACTTATTTCCCATGACTTTAAGACTGTAGGTAGACATTAAGCATACACCTTTTAAATCATTTTTAATAAATAGGCACTTAGTCATGTTCTAAAATGTGCAAATTAGATATTCCTGTGTGTTAGAAGGCAGACTACCCGTCTCTTCTGACAGCTGTGACCCTGCAGCCTATCTGTGTAATGTGTTAGCTGGTGCATTTGGGTTCTGTGCCGCCCAAGTATTAAGCAGTTGCCCGTGACTCTGTGTCCTGCAGAGGGAATGCCACGTAGGAACCGTCACGGGATCAGCTGCCCACTACCCCTGCCATCCAGTAGAGGCAGGGAAAATCAAAGGCTCCTTTCAAACTACATCAAAAAACTAACTTTTGTAAAACCACTTAAGCAGACCCCAATTTAGAAGTTAGCTGTACAGGACAGTTTGGTAAAACTGACATAATTGTGATTTATTAACATGAATTAAAATGCCCAACCAGTGCTTCAATGTGACAGTATATTTAAAATAAAAAAGAAATTAAAGATCATATACTGTACTACTTTCACAAAGATCACACAGTTTTGCAAAAGACCTGTCATATGTACAATGCTATGTATCAAATGAAAAAAAAAAAGCAGTAAGCAATTATATACGCAAAAGAAATGTAGTATTTACAGTTTGTCAGGGACATTAGAAATTATCTATACAGTAAATTACACTTTGCTCGGAAATAACTGATAGGACAAAATGAGCCATATCCACACCAAACTATAAAAAAATCTGTATTGCATTTTTATACCTAAGATGCACTCTCACAGAACTGCTGAACCGCCGGAAAGAAAATCCTCATAGTGCCATTACGTAGCTGTGTACTTAATGCATATGTATAAAATAATAGACATCCACTAAATGAATTAAGTGCAACAATAAAATTTAAAGATCATGTAGCATCAAATCTACTGCCAAAAGAACAGCTGGAATGTTCACTTACAAAATAAAGATACCTAATACTGGTTTAATAGCACATTTTAAAAGAAATTTTAAAAAGCAAAAGTGGGGAAAATACAATGAAAGAGCACTGGTTTTTTATACAAAGTTTCATGTACAAGCTTTAAAAAGTACCTTGATAGGTACATATGAAATATACAGTTTATACACAACATTTTAAAAAATGTTTCTGAAACGAGTCCGTTCTAATGCCACCCCGAGCCATGGTAACTGTTCTGAAATGTCGGTGGCACCTGTGCTCTGTGCATGGGAATCTGCCCCGGCACCGGCGACGCCTGCTGAGGTCCCTGCACCCCGTGTGGCAGGGCCACGGAGCCGGGGTGCGGACAGAACCCGGCAGCGGTGGGCGTTGGAATACTGTTTGGTCCTTGGGGCTGGAGATGAGGACCCGCGACGGGCAGTGGACAGTGTGGCCCTGACGCGGACGGCTGGTGTTGGGGTCCGGGGCCCAGAGCGGCGTGGTGCGAGGCGGGCGCGGGGTAGGGCGGTGCGGTTGCAGGGAAGAGCGGGGCGCCCTGGTGCTGGTGTGGCGGGTGGTGCAGGGCGGGCGGCGGCGGCGGCGGCGGCGGCGGCGGCGGCGGCGGCGGGGGCGCGGGCAGCGCTTGCAGGCCGGGCGCGGGGTGGGGCGGCGGGTGGTGGTGCGGCGCGGGGCCCGGCGGCGGCGGGGGCGGCGGCAGGTGGTGGCCCGCGGGCTGTGCGTGCAGGTGCGGCGCGGGCGTGACGGCGTGGACCGGGCCCACCACGTGGGCCACCGGGTGCTGCTGGTGCGAGCCGGGCTGCGGTGCGAGGTGCGGCGCGGGCGCGGGCGGCGGGGGCGGAGGGGGCGGCGGGGCGGCGGCGGCCGCCAGGAAGTGGGGGGCGGCGGCGGCGGGCAGCGCGGGCCCGGGCCCGGCGGGGAAGGCGCCTTGCTGGGCGAGGCCGCCTTTGGGCGGCGCGTAGTTGGGGAAGGCGGCGGCGGGCTGCGGGCTCGGGAAGTAGGACGAGGTGGCGGGCGGCGGCGGGGGCGGGGGTGGGGGCGGCGGCGCGGCGGGGCCCAGGCCGGGCTGGCTGAAGGCGGCGTAGGGCGCGGGCGACTGGGGCTGCGGCTGCGGCTGCGGCTGCACGGCGGGCGGCGGCGGGAAGAGGGCGCCCGCGGCCGGCTGCGGCTGTGGCTGCGGCTGCGGCTGCGGCTGGGGCTGCGCGCCGGGCAGGCTCTGGCCCGCGGGGTAGAAGCTCCGGGGCGGCTCCCGGGGCGGCGGGGCCCCGACCGGGGGCAGCTGGGTGTGGTGCGGCCGGAACGGGGAGCCGAGCGGCGCGGGCGGCTTGGGGGACGGGGGCGGGTAGCCGAGCGGCGCGGGCGGGGACGGCGGGCAGGGCGGCCGCTGGCTCTTGCCCGGGCCCGGGGCGCTGCCCGCCGCTGGCTTGGGCGGCTCGGGCCGCAGCGGGGCGCCCAGCTCGGGCTCCGCCGCCTCCCAGGGGGGCTCGGGCTTGGAGAGCGGCTTCCCGTGCTGCTGCTGCTGCTGTGGCGGCGGCGGCGGCGGCGGCGCTGGGGTTCCGGGTCCCGGGGAGCCAGGCTGCAAGAGAGAGGGGCGGTGACTCGGGGACTGGGCGGCCTCACGGGGACCCTGCCTGTCCCCGGCCGGCCGGGCCGGCGGCGTCGTGCTCTTCCTGCCGGTGGAGGGAGCGGCGGTCCGAGCCCGCTCTGCGGGAGGTGAGAGCCGGGACCCTGAAACCCTCACCGGATTCCAGCCCCGGAAGTGGGGCTCCCGGTTTGCCTGATGACCCTCCCTCCCGGCCTTTGCTGCTCAGCGCCTTCGGTGTTTCTGCACAGGGCTCCAGCCTGCAGGGCTGAAATGCGCGTGAGCTAACGGTTCAGAGGCACAAGCTGGGGCAGGGCCAGTTCCTCTTTCCACCCCATGACCACCGGGCCTGAGCCTGAGGGAGGGCCCTGTCCCTTGCTGCTGTCGCGCCCTTCTGTGTGTAAAGCGTGGCCTGGCAAGGAAGGCTGCGCACAGGGCGGCCCTGGGCGCCCGCACGCGCGGGGTGGGCCTGAGCTCCTGAGCTCTCTGAGCTGCGGGAGAGGGCGCCACTGCTCGGTGCCGTCCCGGGCCAGTGCGGCGCACCAGTGTCCAGAGTCCACAGAGCGCCCAGCGTCTCGGTGGCCGCAGTCAGTCCACGTTATTACCTTGTTCACTTTCGAAGGGCTTTTGCAAGTGTTTTGAGCCGTGTCTGGGGACGGACATTCACTGGTGGCCGTGGGTTCGGGGTTTTCGGGGTCGGGGTCTGTAAGAAGCAGAAGCAAGCTATGGTACATGTGACCTGCCGCGGGCCGGCGCCTGTGACTGGCGTGACACAGCGGTGTGCACTCTCTGGTTTACACGGTTGGAGCCAGCCAGTAGCCGTGACCGGCCGCCCCCTTACTGACCTTCCGCGAGCTCACTGCGCGGGCCGAAGCCCTTAGCTGGCAACTGGGGAATGTGATTTGAATGAGATGAAGGTGAAGACTGAACATGGCTCGGTGAACATGAGACACATGGTGACTCTCCCCCTGGAGGCGAAGCAGAGCAGAGCCGAGAGAGGTTAGCGCTCACCCAGGCCTGCGCGGCCCCCGCAGGGCAGGGGCGGGAGCAGGGGCAGGGGCAGGGCCGCCACTCACCGCTGTCCTTGTCCTTCCTGTGGTCGCTGAGCAGCAACGCCCTCTGGTAGCTCCGCTCTCTCACCTGTTCCACCGAGGTCGAGGCCGTCCTTTAAATAAAATAAAACCACAGCGGCCGCGTTTCAGGGAAGCTCCTGCCCCTCAGCTGCTCTGTGTCCCGTGGTGGTCAGCGTGGCCTCTGAAAGGGTTTGCTCTACTGGCACATACTTCGGGGTGAAGCTCTGAAAACAGCTACCGTGCCCTTACTTTGCTAAAGGCTCCCAAACTGATCTTTTCATCTCCATAAACCCGAAGGGCTTAAAGCAACTTTCTGGTGTCTGGCAAATTCGGGGTGCAGAGGGCGAAGCGGAAGGCAGTGTAGGGACGTTCACCAAGTCGTTTCCAGTTATCAAGGGGACCAAAACACTGTGTGCTCCAAACTGCCAGAGCGGGTGCACAGCCGGCACGGGCTGCTGAAGCGCCCAGAGCTGGGGCTGCTCCAGGGGCGCGGGGAGGGACTGAACATCCGCGTGACCTCGGGGAGCCACCAGCCGAGCGGTCCCACGGGCTCACCACTGCACTTCCGGTTCGGGCTTGTCGCCGGCAGCGGCGTCCTTGGCCGGGCAGTCGCTGCCCGTCTCCTCGGCAGCGCTGGACGCGGCGGGGGGCGGGGGCCCGGCGCCCTGCTCCGCCTGCTCCCCGCCGCCCTGGCCCTGCGCGCAGCCTTCGCCGCCCAGGCCCGCGCCCGTGCCCGCGCCCGCGCCCGGCAGCGCTCCGAGCAGCGAGCAGCTGTCGGGCCTGGAGCCGCTCCTCCTGGCCTCCCGCTGTCTCTTGCGGTACTCTAGAAGGGAAACCTTGAGCAAGACAGAGAAAAGCGAGCCTTTATTCTTGACTTACGTGTTAGAACCATTTCTTTTCTAAAGAGAATTACTAATATTCACATTTGGAAAATTATATAAAATAACTTGATTTCCAATAAATAATTAACAATTATCAAATGCCTACAGTATGCCAGGCATTGTACATAGAGGATTTACATAACATTTCCACATTTAATCCTCGCAACCCTATGCACCAGGTATATCATCATCCCCGTTTACAGAGGAGGAAATTGAGTAACTCACTCACTCAAGGTCACAGCTGGTGAGTGTTGGAGCCGGGATTCGAACCTAGGTCTTACTTGAAAGCCCGTGCTCTTTCCACTATACTACATTGCTTCCCACAAAGTTGCCAACTGGACTCTGTTACAAAAATTAAAAGCACATATCACTACAATTCTTCGACTCATACAGCAATAAGCCTATTAACAAACGCGTCGGTGCCGCATGCTGCCTGCCTGCCTGCGGGCCGCCTCTGCGCCACCGCGCTCCCTCTGCAGTCGCGGTGGGGACCTGAGGCCCAGGCCGGTTCCGGTTTGGGAGGGGCTTATTTTTAACGTTACTCCTTTCGTAAAGAAATGGCCTCGCAGTCTCGGTCTGGTCTGGTCTGGTCTGGTCTGGGACGGCCTTGAGCCGCGTGTGCAGCTTGGCCTCCCCCCACCCGCACCCCGCTGCCGGCTGCCTGCTGCAGGGCTCGCCCCTCTTGGCTTAATTAAACCGAAGAGGCTCTGAAGTGTGCGCGCGAGCAGGGCGGGTGCCTCAGGCTACACACACACTACTGTAAAGCAGCCCTCAGCCCCGGCCCGGAGCTGGACGGCGAGCGGGACTAGGCATGGCTAAGTGGGTAACCTTTTTCTTCTGCGGCGGGTTCTGAGGTGTGCAGTTCCCGTCCATCAGAGCGTCGTGCACGGTCCGTCCGAAGGCCGAGACGAGCCCGTCCTCCGAGGGACAGAACACGGCTGTGTCCATGAACACGGCTCTGGCGTCCTCCTGCAGCAGGCACTTGGTCTCGCTCACGCGGAAGCCGCCGCCGACCTCCAGCTGGTGCGAGGGCGTCAGGTCCCGCAGGTTGGAGTTCACCGGGAAGCCCAGCCCGCTCCCGTCGGGGCTCTTCACCCAGGGCGCGTAGGGCGCGGCCCGGCCTGGCTGGCTGGCGTCCAGCGGGCCGGCGGGCTCGGGCGCCTCGGCGGCCTTGAGCAGGGCGGCCGGCTCCCCTGCGTCCAGCCCCAGGTGCAGGTCCGCGGCGGGCTCCTTCTCCCTGCTCCTCGGGCTGGCGTAGCCAATAGTCTTTATTTCTTGCAGCCCCAGCTCAGTTAGACCGGAATTTCTGAAAGGCCCCAGTGCTAACAGGGTTGAAGATCTGTCATATCCCTGTTTACAGAACGAAAGACACACACAATGACATCTTGAGACTGCTGACTTTAAAAATAATGATATTGAGAAAAACATCAGTAGCCCAACGTAACTATCCAAATATCTGTATCAGGATCAGCTTCTTACCTCTTGACTGTAAGTGCGTCTCTTTATTTCTGGAGAACTTTCTGGGGAAGAAATATTCTACATAAAAGGAATAATCAAAATTGAAAATTAAAATACATAATATCTCTGATACTTTTTTGAAATGAAAACTTAGAAACTATTGCACAGACTTTGGTTTCAGGCTGTTTCCTGTTTTCTTTCCATTCCCCAGATAAGATTACTTTGCCCCCACACCAAACAGGTCATGTCCTGACGTCCTACCGATGTCTGAGGGGGACACATCTCACACAGCGGCATGAATACCCAGCCCTGATGCTCATGAACCAAAAGACCTCAGGATATGACACGTGCGCTGAGGTCAATTTGATACACACAGTCATTACTACAATTAAAAATGTCTTTTTAAATGTTTAACTTCACATATGTGTATGTGTCCAATTTTCCCTTTAATTTAGTCTCTTAGCACACTCGTTGTTCCCCGTCTACGTGGGCTGAAAACATTTTTCTCATTGAAATTTCTCACCTCAAAGTGCATGGTGTTTCCTGGTGTGCCTGGGGTTACCGGGGTGACTGGTGAATATATGGGTTTATAACCGTTTCTACAGGTTTCATCATCTGACTTTACCCGTGGAGGAGTGGCAAATGATGGGTCCGTAGGAGTAATGTCTGCATGAGTTGGTGTGGCATACGGTGAAGGAGTAGGTGTGGAGGTTTCTGAGTAAACAGAATCTAGCAATTGATAAAGTCTTCGTTTTTTTAGTGGTGTTGTTAAATCTGTTGGCAAAATAATAATCTATAAGAAATTATACTGTTGGTATTTGCTATAATCTGTAACATTTTGGAAATGTGATATTCTGAAAAAAACATAACTATATAGTAATTATGATTACTTTCACCCCAAAACTATAGTTTTTTAAGAGTGGAATTAACATGAAAGCATTTCCCCATCTGTCTTTGGTTGGCAAGGACTATCTTGCCCAAAGAATAGACCTAGAGGTCTCAAAGAAATCTTACATAATTGTAGTACACTAATCTCACTGTGACTGATTTGTCTGAGTCCTTTTGAATCTGTTTGAAAACAGCCACTCCAAAAGCCAAAACTAGGCCTTAAAAATTCAACCATAATCCCCAAATAGATTGTATCACAAATCAAGACGTTCATGTCTCCTCTTGGAGACAGGGTCTGGAGAACAGCAGTGACAAAATGCATCTCACAATCTGCTGTTTCTCTGAAGCTGAGTAAATTAGCTGGACTGTGTCTATGCTGCCACAATGCTCCCACTAAAACAGCACTGAGGAAAACCCTACCTGGAAGGGAACAGCTATCATTTAATAGGAATGGGCTTTTATTTTCACCATTGACTGTAGGACTTCTGGATCTTTCTTGACAGGGTGAGCTGAATCTATGTAAAACTGTTGAGTTTTCTTCTTCCAGAGCCTGTTTTAACCATCGCTGAGTAAGACAAAAAAGTAAATGAACAGTAATAAATTAGCAGCTATTTACTGTCTTAAATGCAGAGCTGATTTCAAAGGCATTTTTCTACAAGTAATAGCAAGGAATGAGACTGGCGTTTGGTTCACACCAGATTCTGAACATCCAAAGAAACCTTTACCTTTTTGCATGAGCCAGAAGCGTTGTCAGTAGGTTCTTTCCTCCTCCTTTTTTCAGAAAGGAATGGTGAAGTAAACCTAATGTAATGCTTGGGGGTAGAGTACACGTGAGGGCTGTATGTGAGGCCTGGTAGAGAATTGAGCTGTGTGGCTAACACTTCCGGATCTGTAGTTATCCGCAGAGGCTTTTCGGAAAGAGTGTCTGAGAGTTTTCCTGTCTTCTCATTCTTCTCACTTAACCATTCACTGACCAAGTGCTAGAGGAAAGAAAATTCCAGATCACTATGTATATAACAGCATAGATTCTCTTATACAACATCCTGATAACAAAATCAGAAATTGACATTGTTGAAAGTTATAAATGGGGTAATTTAAATAATTCTCATATGTGATGTCCAAAAAAGTCAGCATCTCATTCCACATTTCCTTGCTTATTTCTATGAAATCTTTTACATGTTTTGTACAAACACAGGTGCTTTTATAAAATTGCTTCAAGAAATTATTACATAAAAACACTAATGCTTCTAAAAATCGTAAAATCTATGGCACAAATACTAAGTACAGATTTGTTACTGTTTTAAATGTATAAATTGGTCAACTAGAAAAATCTGATTTTAGCAGTACTTTTTGATCCAAAATGCCTCTTAGAATCTCCCAGAGATGAGTTAGTGCATATCCTCCACATGAACAAAACATAAAACTATCAGCACTGACAATCCCTGATCAAAGAGGTTTAAAACACTCAAAGCCCCCATTCTTTGAAAATGTACGTGGTGTTTTTCTTAATTCTGTTTATTCCTTGGTCTACAACATGCACAATTCAGTTTTTACTGGCTAGATGAATGCATGTGGCCCTGAAGGATAATGGTTACTTTTTTTTTGGTACCAGGGATCGAACTCATGACCTCTTGCTTGCCAGGCAGGCTCTTATGCCGCTGAGCTCAGCCCTCTAATGATTACTTCTTAAAAACTAGTTTTTTCCTTTTGTCCTGCCATTCATACGTTTAGTAATCAAATACGATCCTCTTAAGTTCATGAGAAATGTAAATTGTAAAAAAAGCACGTGTGCCTATGTCTTGTATCTCACACACACACAACATAGGCACAATAACAAGCTGAAACACTTTCCTATCCTGTCTTCTGGCAACCAGCTTAAATGCTTTATAGCACCTTTTCTCTGTGTGTGCAGAGCTAGCTGCGTAGGACAAGCAGTGTGCTATGTAAAGCACATGGAGACTGCACTCAAACTGCCACGGAGTGGAGGTGTGATTTTTTTAATTAATAATTTGATTGAAAATGTCTATCTTATAAATACATTTTTTTGTACATTTTACTGAAATCAACAGTTTCTTCACATTTGACTCTTACAGTCTACCTACACAGTGGGATTTATAAAAACCACAAACGATAAAAGAGCAGGGGCCTGGAGTTGTGGCCCGGGGAGAGTGCTTGCCTAGATGCGCCACTGAAAGGAAGGGTAACACACATGGAACCAGTTCAGAAGAGTGTGAACATCGTATCTGTACACAGTGCAGGAACACTCAACAAAATCATGAACTGCAGCACAAAGTCTTAATGTATTTATCTTTACCATAATGTGACATTTATAACTACTTTATAGTTTTGCAATTCTTTAAAAAACCTGAAGGTATAAAAATGATGCTGCTGTTCATTATAAAATGTGACAAACTGAATTTTTAAAATTAGTATAATAAGACACTTGGAGAAGTTCTTCGGTTCATTAAGAATCATACCTTCTGAGCTGGGGATTTAGCTCAGTGGCATAAGCGCCTGCCTTGCAAGCAGGCAGTCGTGAGTTCGATCCCTGGTACCAATAAAAACGAAAAAGACAAAAAAAAAAAGAATCATACCTTCTTTGTTTTGGGGTACTTCGTAGAACATTTAGTGAGTGCTGGGACTTCAGTTTCAGTGATTATTTCTGCTACTGCAGTTTCAGTCTCTGGTTCTATTACGAGCACAGTGTTTTCAACATCGTTTTGCTGTGATGTGACCTCGATGTCGGGAGAGGACGGCTGGATGTCGGAGCACATGCTGACGGTTCTGTGTCTCCGCCGCTGCTGTCCGATGTGAGTCCTACTGCGAGAAAAGCTTTTTCTCTGTTTAGTTCTATTTACTTTGGCAGGGGCTGGCTTGTTAGCAGTTTCTTCTTTTGCTTGTTCCTGATTCAAAGTACAATATAATAGAACTTTTAATTATGTGTATTTAAGTTGAAATATAATAGCATTAATCTACTTCAAATGTTTTCCAAGTTTATGGATTCTAAAAAACAATATATTGGCATAATGAAAAGGTTATGATTTAAAGTTTTATGATTTAAATCCAAACTTCATATAAGGTTTGAAAATGCTACCAAAGTCTAATATCAGCCATAATATTAAATGTTTTATAGATGTAACTAAGTTGTGTGCAGAAATTTTATTTGAAGGTATTTAAATACAAGAATGAAAGTGGATCTGAGCAGTATTACCTGATTAACCTCAGCATCACTGGTGACCTGAGTGTCTTTACATTCAGCTTTGACTTCTGTTTTGGCGGTGCTGATCCTTTCCAAGGCTTGTTCTCTTCTCTTCTCTCTTTTTTCAAGTCTGGCAAAAGCTTGCAAAATTGCTTCCATTTTCCTTTCTTCTCTGGTCTACAAAGTTTAAGTTTTAAGTGGCATATCATTGCTTTGAAGTAAGGATTCAAATTTGAAAAAGAATTGCTCTGATATTGTTAACAGAGTCTGCTGCTGGTGAAGGGGTGAGGTGGGCAGCATTCACAGTCATTCAAATCTGTCAGAGTCGCACACATCTTGGTAAAGCCTGATATTATGGATATATTTCATGAAAGGATGGCTTAGCGGATTGTTAATGAGGGTTTTTTAAAAAGCCTCAAAATCTACCTTGTTTTATCAAATTGAAAAATGTCTTAATATAGATGCCAGTCTTTTAATAAAAATTCAGATTTCCTAAGGTTTGATGTGTACAGAGGAGTCGGTAGATTATTTGTATAGAAGGATGGTTGTGGGGTGAAGTTCTAGGTTTAAATCATGACTCCACCAGGATCTCTGTGACCCTAAGTAGGTTAATTAACCTTTCTGAGATGCTAAGATGCGGTAATAATACATACACATTACTGAATTGTTACTAAGTTCAAGCAAAATGTATGCGAGCTTTTTAGACAGTACTTGGGAAATAGCAGGCATCCCACAAACGGTAACTATTCCTTCTCCTTTAGCCCTCCTCGTCATGTTTAAGGCATCCCTCTACCTTCTGTTCTTCCTTTCTCACACTGACACTTCCAAGCAGCCCTAAGGAAACAGCAAGAGTCCCCTCGAGCACCAGGAGCAAGATCCAGAGCCTCGGCCAGAGCGGCCAGCCTGGCAAATGCGTCAGCTTTCAACAGAACATGAAGCACATCCACCCTTTTCCAGTTTCCAAATGGAAAGAATCAGGCCCTAGGCTCAGATCCACTTGTCTTTCTTCCATTGTCATCCACATCCATGTGAGGAAGAAAGAAAAAAAGATCGCAAACTCCAGGTCTGGCTGCCAAGGCCTTGTCAGCATCAGCTCTTATCCAGGGATCAGTAGCCAAAGTTCAAGTACCAAGACGCATGAATCAAGTACCAAGATTCAAGTACCAAGGCACGTGAATGCTTTCTTGTGCTTGCCTATATTTTTATCTTTGTCATGCTCAACAAAGGAATGAAGTAGAATATCAACAGAGCACCTGAAAGTACTTCTTAAAGTTTCTAATTGACTAGAGCACATCACCATTCTGCCAGTGACACACAAAATGTGTTATCCTCACCTTTATTTTACAGACAAGGAAACAGGTCCAGCGAGGTAAGATTACTTGTTTATGTGTCCGCATCTGCATTTAGCTCTGCTGGTCTAGGAAGGGTCACCAAACACTTGACACAGCGTGGGTAACAGATGCTTTTTTAAGGCACCGGAACTGGACATTTTAAAGTTGAATTCTTAGACGTTTCTTGTCTCTGGTCTTTTAAATCACTGATTTGACCTCTTTTTGTCATACAGCTTTCTATAAAAACTATGACTGGGTATCAGGGCTTTTCTAAAACTCTGAATTTATAAATCCCAAGTATGACAAAAAGTTCATTTTCACAATTGCTTCAATTGAACAATGTTGAAGGGAAGAGTTTAACAACTGTAGCTACTTCAAAAACATTTTATTTATATATGTATGTATGTGCTGGGGATCGAACTCTAGACTGAGCACTTGCAAGGCAGGCGCTTATGCTGCTGCGTTACATCCCCAGCCCCTCAAAAACATTTTAATGTCATGGGGAAATCCTATTTTCCCTGAAACCAAACTAGCCTTACCATGAATCATTTGTGTAAAACATTACCCTGGATTTTCTAAAACACTTAGGGATTTATGCCAGGAGAGGATTCTCTGACACTTCCCTTCCAACTCATTCACATAAAAACAACTCCCCTGTACATAGCACAGTTGCTAGTTAAAGCAAATGCCTTCACTTAGAGATGGTTCTTGATCTTGAGTTGGTCAGGATCTTAAAAAGTAATGTAGTCCTGTCCTGGTAGTGCAAGTGCCTGTGCCTGCAGCGACTCTGTCGAAGGTGGTTTTTCACATGGCTCTGACAACCTCCTTTGCCCGCTACTCTCCAGTTCACAAGCACACACCTACCATCCTATGCAAAGCGTCCTGAAGGGCAAGTCTCCCTGTGTCACTACAGTTCTTTGCTGTGTAGGAATAAAGTCAAGGGCACTAAATAGATTTCCTAATTTTAACCCAGCTTGGAAATGTAAACATGCCTGGCTTTTAAATGTAGTTCAGGATATCTCACTATGTAACTCAGGCTGGCCTCCAACTCATGGTAATCCTCTCACCCTAGCCTCTTGATTACCAATGTGCACCACCATGCTTGGCCATACCAGGTTTTCTACTGGGTAACAATTATTTGCACATTTAACCAATTTTAAAATTCCTTAAGGTACGTATCATTCAACTTCTATGTTCATCATACATCCTAACATTATTTCACATTTAACTAGATAATAGTATTTGGGACCAAAAATTTGCCACCCATTTTACAGATGTAAGTGAAAAACATGTTTACACCAAATTTTAAAGGTAACTGCAGATGACTAGAGAAATAAATGGTCTTAATAAATGATTAGAGCATCTGCAGACCTACCGTGACTTATGTAGGTGACTTTTATTTAACTGTAACTCACTGCAAGGTGAGTCTTTTATCACGTGTGAGCTGGGAAAGTGACAGACCCGCATGCAGGTTACACTGTCCGTGCCAGAGTATTAGATGTTATGCTAAAGTACGTGGGTCTTCTTTATGACCCATTGTACATTACTATGATATAATTTTCAGTTTTTGGCTTCCCAGCAGTAAATACAGAGTACTCTTATTTCCTATAGGCTACAGAACAATAATACCACTACTTGCTGAGGCATGGGTATTTTGAGAATCTATTGCAACTGTGTACTTCAAAGAATAAAGACATGTAATAAAAATTTGTATTTTCAACTTTCAGAATAGATACAATTTTTGTCTAAGTTTCAAAACAGGGAAAGTCATACAATTCAAGGTTATATAATAAATAGGAATTAACATGTTATATAATATAGCAACTGAAAAAAATAAACTGCCAAATAAACATTCTAATTTAGCTCAGAAAATGCTTCTGGTAATTTAATGTACTACAAATAAGCCTGTGAAGGAGGGGATGCTATCAGCTTTACAGGGAAACCTGGGGGAGGCCAGGGTAAAGAGGAAGAAGGTATCTCGGGTATCTGGGGATCGCAGCCTCAGTCTTCTGCTTGCTGTCAGGTGCAGTTCAGAGGCACACAGCCTGCTGCCCTCTGCCACAGCCAAAAGGCCCAGCCAGGGCCTGGGTCCTCGACTGAGCTCCCAGGCTCTGTCTTCCCTGGCTTACAGTTTTGCTTTCCTCATCTTAAGTGCCTATAGTCTGAAAATCTGAATTCCAGAAATCAAACTTTTAAGGAAAACCTGACTTTAAGGAAAGGCCAGGACCTCACTACAAATTTACTCTACTCTATGGTCTTATAGTACAGAAAAAAGACTCAAATGCCCCATACCCTTTCCAACAACAATGACAGACTGATGGTGAATCTTAAGAGTCATAAGATGATTGGTTACTAATAAAAGCTATTGAAAGCAGCACGTGTGACTTGTGTGGGACCAGACTTGGGGTCTCTGAGCTTCACATACTTCACAGAGAGGAAACTGTGCTTGTGGAGCACTGCATATAAGCTGTGTGTCAATGTTGCGTGAAGACAACTGCAAGCACTGAAGGAGAGTTTGGGACATCTTAAATCTATTACACCGTAGCTAAAGCAGAATAGCCTCATTTTGTTTAATCAGATACCTATAAAAATAAACATACCCTTTTACCATGTTATGAATTACTTTACAAATACAATTCCTAATCTATGATGAAACAAGTGTCAGCATCAACTGAAAGATACAGGAACACTGAGTTCAGTGATTCCATCACAGTCCTGTCTTCAGATGACTTTTCTGCAACAAATTAACGCTCCTTCATACTTTACTATCATTAAAACTACCGTCATGGGCAGGGGATTCAGCTCTGCAACAGTGCCTGTCTGGCAAGTGCAATTAAACTGAGTTTGATCCCTGGTATCAATAAACCAAAACAATAGTTGTGCATGGATTACACCTATAATCCCAACACTGGGAAGCTGAGGCATGAATATCACAAATTCAAATCCAGCCTGAGAAACTCACACCCTCTATAGTTACATGATCTATGGTGGTCAATTGTCAACTTGAGCCAGGACGGCTAGCTGAATGGAGTCAATATGGTTTTGGGCATGGACGACCCACTGTAGGGAGGATAAAAAGGAAAACAGGAGGGAAAGATCTCGGCTGATTTTCCTTGAAAGAGTTTCATCGTGCCTGTTGCTCCTCAAAGGAGCCCTGGCCTTGGCCTTGGGCAGAGTCCCCCAGCTTTGGAAGCACTCCTGGGCTTCCTTGCCTTTTCAGCCTGCTGGTGCAAACTCTTGGCTTCTAGCACCGCCCTCCGCCCTTTGCCCTTCTGGTGCAGGCGCTCAGGGATCCCTCCACCACCTGATGCAGCCTCAGATGGGACTTTGCAGTGGTCTTCAGACCATTGGTCGGATTCTTCGCATCTCCAGCAGCACAGAGAGCTTTTGCGCTCTTCTCCATTCGACTCAGTGAGCTGCTACTGTAGGCTGATCTTGGGCATTCCTGCGTCCTACATTAAATCCGATTCAGAGCACGTGTAGTCTTTTGAGGAACCTTGGCCCAGTCCTGTAAGAGCTTGTAAATACTAATAAACTGTCTCAAAAAATAAAGTGCTGGGGATACAGTTTTTGTAAAGGCGCTGCGTTCCAATCCCAGCACCAGTGGCAGGAGCAGTCTCGATCTTCGACCGTGTTATTCTAAAACAAGTCACTTTCTAAAAACAGACTAGCAGTACAGATTCTGGATGATCATGTTTTCCTGGAGTGTGCTGGTCACTGGAGGGAAGAACTACACACTACCGAAGGTGTTCAGCTTTAGGCAACACTGCCCAACAACCCGGCTTTCAAGAATTCTTAAGTACAAACGGTGTAGTGGCTAGCCAATCAACGTGCTTGGCTTGTTCTGCACTGGGATTGGCAGAGCACTAGGCTAGTCAAGTTGTGGAGGCGTGGCCTCGGGGGACTACATCCGGCCCTCTGAGGACTCCTCCGCTCTGCTTCCGGGTGCCAGGCTCTTACATACAGTTCCTGCCCAGGTGCCAAGCACGTCAGGGACTGAAACAGTGAGCACTTTCAACTCAGAGGAGTGGTTGGGTGACCTGGCTGAACAATGAGAAGCTGACTATAACGCTTTTTTGCATAACGCACCTGCTAAGAACACTTCAGGTAAGGAGGTCAAATGTTTTTGTTTTTTTTTTTGTCTTTTTCATTTTTATCGGTACCGGGGATCGAACTCACGACCGCCTGCTTGCAAGGCAGGTGCTTATGCCGCTGAGCTAAACCCCCAGCCCCTGAGGTCAAATGTTTTGACCCGTGTAAAATCCTGACTCGTCTTGGGCAAGACTTCTTGGACTACAAGGAAGTCACAGTTTCCTTCCGTGGCTGCCATACACTTTTGGCTCATTTACTGAGCAGCTATATGCTCTTAAAATGCCAGGCACCCTGTCAGCCTAGGAGCGGGGCTCTGACAGTAAACTACAAATACTTTATTTTCCTACCCTGGCTGCCTGATAGGTCCAGGGGTCTCGGACCTGGTTGATTAATATGCCTTTAATATGTCTGCTGTTGGCATATTTCTTTCCTTTTCAATGTGAAGACCATCCTGAACCAACTTCCACAGGCTCCAGTTTAAGCAATCTGATAATAACAGGCCATGAAGGATCACAAGTAAACTCTCAAGGTGTCTTAAATTGGCTATGGAAAAGTATTTCAGAAATATACTAAAAAGGAGGTTCTTTTCTTTTGGAGGGGGTGTACTGGAAATTGAACTCAGGACCATGTACTTGCCAGGCAGGTGCTTATGCTGCTGAGCTATATCTCTGGCAAAGAGGTTCTTTTTGTATCACTGTAAACATTGTTTCCTAAACATAAATCTTTCAAAACTGCAATTTTTAAAATGATCACTGATTAATGGTATGCTTCCCAGGATCTAACGTTCTTCTGCATACTCTTTGACAACACTGGCCAACTAATCCGACTTCAACCAACATATCCCAAGCAGGTCTACTCTTGTGTCCTGGTTTTGGAATCAGGTGAGCAGACAACCTGTGTTTCCAGCGCCACGCTTTAACTAGCCTCAAAGGCTCAGACACCCATTCAGGCTCTGACAAACCAGGGGAGAGGCAACTTGGAGTAACTATCATCTGCTTCACACAATTTAGCCCAAGTTTGCTTTTGTAAATAGGTACTCACTTCTTGGGGGGAAGGAGATGGTATCACAGGATAAAGCAGTTAATGGATGACAAAAAAGAAAATGTTATTAAAAAAAAAAAAACTTTCAAGGACCAAAGGAGGTGGAAGGACATGGAACTGAGAATGAAAAAGGCTTTTCTCTCCTTGTTACCTAATGATTCAAATACTCTTTCATGAGGCCCGCGATCTAGTCCAGCAGCACTAGCACGAGGTCCAAAGTTCAATCCCCAGTACCAAAAAAAAAAAAAAAAATTATATATATATTCTTTCATGAATTCATCACTTAAATTTTCATGTATAGCAACCACAACTTACATGAATAGTGCTCAATATGCAGCCTTATCCTCTTATCTATATAACCCTCTCCTTTCCCAAAATATAGCCACAAATCATCTGTCACATTTATAACTCCCTCTGGACTATTTCCCCTGGAGAAATAAATGCAAATTCAGTTCCATACAACTTATTAAAATAGACTTATAGTCTATAAATACTTATAAACCCTACAGAAGGTTACAGATATTATCCAAAATAAAATGGTATCTCTCATATAAATGGTACCCCTCAGCTTGAGTTATCAATAATAATGTCTTCTGTACCACTTCTTACTGAATTATTTTAGTAAATACTTCTGAAGGTAGAGACATTGTCCTATCTATCTATCATTCTCATTAAAAAGAATGAAGCAAAGAACCAAAGTATACAAGTCCACAGATGCAAGTTTTGGAAACTGAGCAAGATGTTAAATTAGATGGTTATATGAAATTGTTTTTTATATAGGTAAAAATTAGATCAATTCCGTACTGTTTAAGCTATACTACAAAGGACAGACTGAAATATATTTGAAGTTGAAGATTACGTGCAATATATATGAGAAGGAGGTAATCTTGACGCCTCTTAGCCAAATCTGGTATATATACATAATGGTCTCTATCATTATAAGCCATGATGGTCTAAAACTCTGCTTGTCACAGGAGAAAAATTAGTTTGACAACTCTCCCAAGAGAAACTGGCACCAGGTGTGATGGTGTACGCCTGCAATCCCAGCACTTAGGAATCTGAGGCAGGAGGATCACTGTGAATTCAAAGCCAGCCTGACTTACACAGTGAGACCCTGTCTCAAAAATAAAGAGTAATATCTTTATTACCATCTTTAGTTTGTTTGGTTTTACTTTTTTTTTAAAGTTGCCTCTTTATTTGCTCTTTATTTTACCCCCTGAAGTAAATCTAAACAAAATAATGGCAAAACTAGAAAAATAAAACTCATTTTAAAATGAAATATACTCTGAGAGAAAAAAAAGTACTAATTGCTTAGGAATCCCAGGATGTGTGCTTCTGCATTCAGCTTATTTGATTATACACAAAAATTCTGTAATTTAAACATCAAAGCAAATACACCAATTAGAAACAATGCAATAACTTTAAAGGCCCTGGATCAAGAAACCAAAGGAAAATTTGTAGTCTTATTTCATAATACCAAGTTATAAATATTTACATTTTAAATTTTTCCACTTATTATCATGAATGAAATTCCCAGCTTCATAGCCATCTTAGTGGCAGATAGTAGCATATGATAAATAAGTATAAAAACATTTAAGTATTCCACATTAATACAACATAATCAGAGCCAAATGTGATCCTAGTAAGCACAGAAAATACATTTTTCCCCAACAAGTTTAACATCAGTAAAAAGGCATCCAGTTTTCTTCTGCCATTGGGAAGAAAGAATTTTCTAGGTTCCATTCTTTCTCAGGATGACAAATTGATAATTTAAAAGTAGCCCCATAGCCATGAAAATTTTTAAATAGAATACAATTTGAATAAAACTACTGTGTGTACACAGAACAAGTGTTCCAACTTTTTAAAACTGTCACTGTTTTGAAAGTGTAGTTTGAAATTGCTGTAGTTCCTACTGCTGACTATAAAGGAGCTCGTGCAAAAAGCAGTGACTCTTGTGTTCATAAATTACTACACACACAGGCAACACAATGTAAGTTTGTAACAATTATGGAGCCAGGCAATGGTGTAAAAAAAAAAAAAAAAAAAACAGCCACACATGATTTATATGTAACTGAATCTTGAAAAAAGTTTACTATTATTCTTTTGGATACAGGCATTCTCTTTCATATAACCAGCCTCCAAATTCTCCAATTTTCAGCTGTTTGCTTTTCTTCTCTTCTGTTTCTAACTGCCCTGTCTCAATAGAGCAGTGTTGCTGGCCCCCAGCCTCTGACGGAGCTGTACTGGAAGGATGACTGTCACAGTACAAAACAGACACACTGAGCAGCTCACCCAAGTCCAGCTGGAAAGATGTAATGTGATGGTCGCACAGCGCACCACGCAAACCTCTACAGCAGGAGGCCAAGCAGTGTACCAAGTAAAGGTAATGAGGAAAACCTACCCAAAGGCCATCAGTTAGTTTGTAAGACCATCTTTTAAACCAACAAAGTAGAGCAGACCTCTAACTGGCGTTGATACTCTACTGAGAATGCTAATTACCACTTTTTTGAGGAAATCTCTTATCCCATTTTTACACTAACAAAGTAAGTTATAGGAAAATCATAAATTCTAAACTTATTTGTTGTTTGTTTGGTGGTTTGGGGGTTTTAAGACAGGATCTCACTATGTAGTCCAAGGTGGCCTCAAACTCATGGTGGTCCTCTTTCTTGCCTCAGCTTCCAAAGTGCTAGGATTATGGATGTGCTCTATCATGACCTGCTTAAACTTATTTTAATGAAAAATCTTACATTTGATGATAACAGTATAGGAATACAGAAATAGTAGTTACCAAACAGTAGTATTTTTTTGTTTTAGCTTTACATCAGCCATTTATTTGGTGCTATTATAAGGTTTAAATCTGTTTTTATTTTACATCAACTCTTGAAGAAAAAAGGGTACATTCAGCTAATGAGAGACATTTTGAACAGGAATTGTGGTATTAAGATTTATTGTTTCCAATTTCAAAAATATTAATAAAATTACTTCTAAAATGTCATACATTTGAAATGTCTAACGAACACCAGTAAAAATACAAAAGTTCAGTGGAATTTTCTTAAAGGATAATGATAAAGCCAAATGAAAATCCTCCATGGCACGTCGGCTGCCCTCAGTCCAACTGAGCACAGAGCAACTACTGGCCTCCCCACTTACCATCTTCCTTTTCCTTTCTGCAATCTGCTCCTCTGACTCCATTTCTACTTCATTGCTAATAGGAGTTTTTTCTTCTATTTCATCAATAAAATCTGGTTCCTGAAAGATAAAAATGTCTTCTTTATAGAAACTACTACTCTGTTGTAATCTAGGGACACCGAACTATTTAAAAGTATTTAGACCACAACTAGCTGGGGTTGACAGCACACACCTCTAAAGATAAAATGACAAATTATTTTCTTTTAATTCAGCTTCATTAAGAATAGTTCAATACCTGATTATTTGACACTGATAATCTCAGGGGAGAAAGCTTTCTCTGTTTTGTTTCTGAGCTCTTTATTTTGTTGGTTGTTCCTTCAGAATCCAAAGTCATATTCTGATTTTGTATATCTTTTTCCTTTGAAATATCCTTGTCTTTTCTTCCTTTTTTCCTTCTGGTCTCATAACCACTGTTGATGTTTTCCGTGGATTCAGAACTACGTTTCAGAACAGGGCACTCTGGGTTTTCCTTGAGGCATGCACAGTCCACCTTATACTTGCTGGAATGATAATCAGATAAATACTTCTTCAAAATACAAAACAAAATTGAGAAATTTCACTCCATTTTAAGCAGCAACTCCACAAAATTTCATGCAATTAGTGATTACAAGTAATCCTTACCTTTTTAGGCATTTCTGGTAACTAAAACAAAGGTATTTTCTCATGAAAACAATACTACAATTAGATGTTCGTTTTTTGGGTCACAGACTGGACCTTGGGATAATCAATAACATGTTACTTACCGAAAGGTGGGGGGAGTCAAAACTTTAACTCTTTTAAAGTAAATGATAATATGGCTTACATAAAGTATCATTAAGGCATAAACCATCATTACTTCTGGGATCTTAGAGTATTATAAAATTGATCTAAAATTTGACCTAAGTTTATACTGTACTTTAAGGAATAACTTACTAACCAAGAAAAAGGGATTTTATACTAAGAGGAATTTAAAAACTTTTACATTTAAAAAGAATATCACATAAAGTTTTTTAAAAAAAACACACTGAAATGAACTCAACTACTAACAAAAGATTAAAAAACATATGAAAAACTCAGGAGCCAGACGGGGTGGCACATGTCCATTAATTCCAGCACTAATGAGACTGAGGCAGGAGGATCAGAGTGTTTGAAGCCAGCCTGGGTTACATAATGAATTCAATGCCAGTATGAACTACAGCTGAAGACCTTGTCTCAAAAGATAAACAAGCAAACAAACAAACAAAAAATGGGAGGAAAAAAAAAAAGACTATCCAGCAGAAAACATGTCAGATGATATGCTTAGATAACACACCACAGAGGAAATCCAAATGATAAACAAACATATAGAAAGCTCCTTTCGAGGAAAGACTGGTGCTTACCATGTGAGAGGTCCAGGGATCAATCCCCAGCACCACCAAAAAACAAAACACAAAAGAAGAGAAAAGATCCTGGGGCTCATAAATAATCAAGGAAAGTGGTAAACCAAAAATAACATTTCACATGGACTAGCACTAAGTTTTAAAATGCTAACAGTCAAAGAAGTACTTGGGAATATAAACTGGGAACAGGCTTCTTTGGAGAGAGAGTCACCTGTGTCTGGTAAAAACTGAGTCTGCACACTCTAGACCTCAATGATTTCACTCCTGGGTCCTTACTTGGAGAGAATATATACCACACAGACACTCAAAACACCACTGGAGCACTGTTTCATAAATATGAAAGTACCTCAGTAGTAGAGTAAACAGCAGTGAAAATAAATGAACTAGAACTAAATGGAACAATGTAATTTCACCTGGTAATGAAGGAGAAAATAAATGCAGAATGCAGTAAATTATTCACATAAAGTTTAATCCTACAAAATTCTAGATGGCAGGTAATGAAGGAGAGAGGGTGAAGAGGTTGTCTCTAGCTGCGATATACAAGAGGCTTCACTGGAGGATTTATTTCTTAATTAGGGAAGTAAACATGAATACTGGAAATATTTCTATTCTATATTAAATTTTTTAAATTTGAAGTTTTTGCCAAGTGGAATGCGGAAATATACCCAGTGTCTGTAATCACGGCACTCAGGAAGAGTGAGGCAGGAAGAATGCCAAGAGTTTGAGGTTAGCCTGGGCTACATAGTGAGTTCAAAGCCAGCCTGAATTATATGGTGAGACACTGCCTCCACCAAAAATAAATAAAAAATAAAAAGTTTTTATACCCATAACTAATGCTTGTTTTATGCCAGTGTTTCACAACAGCAGTATTCAGTGTTTCTTGCCAGGGATTTCTAACAAATCCTTTAAAGTTACACTGCAAAGAAAATGTGGCATAATTTCTTTTATTTTTGAGAGGCAATATCCACTCACATCAACTAGCTAAGAAAACTGTAGAACTAGTTTATCACCTAAAATACAAGAGTGAAGAAAAACTTTCTCACACAACAAAGTCAAGGTTGTAAAGTTGAATAAGGATTACTAGTTATAAAGTATGAACATTTACATTACACTAAGTCCAAGTTTACAAAATAAGCAACAATGCTATAATGGAAGTGAATAACAAACTTCTTGTTTTCAAGTAGTTTCAACTGCTTTGTGATACATAAAAGCTGTTAAAGAAATGAAAATTATCTAAATATAAGAACGTTAAGCAATTACTTTGAAATAACTGATGATAAATTTACAGACTTCAACTTACCAATTCCCATAGTCAAAATCAAAGGCAATAGTAATTTCAGTACCCTTTGGAATACTCTGGATAGAATAAATATAAAGATGTATGGTTCCTTCTTCAATTTCATGCCTCACCTGTTTAAAAAAAATTTACATTTCTATACATCACTTTTTATTTTTGGAAGTATATTATTATGCAACTAGACTAAATACTATAGTCCTAAAAGTATGTCACAAATACAATTTAGAAAATTACTGTTCATCATAAGATCTCTAACTACAAATCAGTGGTGGTCAACTGGGAAGGCTTTTCAAATGTACTATATATTGGTGTACCCCTGCTATCCTCCACCAGCCTTTCTGGCACGTAAAAAATAAAACACTGTATTCATATTTCATCAATTCTAAGAAGAGTGTTTTTTCACATTTTCGCTTCTATGAAACTGGGAGTCTTATAAGTACTGGCACCTTCAATTTGGTGGAATGCAACAGTGATACAGCCAACAATACTTTCCTGTGACCTTTTCAGATATTTTACATGATACTCTTTAATTCCTCAATACTACCTTTTACAATAAAGATGAGGCATAGTTAGGGTTACAAAACAAGTAAGTGACAGAGAAGATATAAATGTATTATATGGCTCCAACCATTACGTTTTTAGCTGCAATATTACATAATTAAAAATTTAAAATTTTTTTTGCATGTAAAAACAATGTTATTTTATAGTCCACACTAAAATACAATTTTATGAAAAACAAAGTAGCTCATGTAAAATTTTCCCTAGCTCTTAGCTTTTTCATTTAACTCAGTAAGACCATACTATATAGAATTGACCAATGAATACAGCTTCCTGTATAGACACAAAGAACCCCCATATTCCCTCTTACAAGAAACATCATGATTTCCTCAATGCGTAATTTTTAAGACCTCACAGAATATCACTTAAATTTTCAAAACAGAAAGATATGAGCCAAATAAACTGCATCAGCAGTTGAAGTGTTTAAAGTTACTGCTTGGTTATTTATTTATTGTGGTACTGGGAATCCAGGGCCTTAAAACAGGTATATCCCCAGTCCCTTTTTTCATTTTTTATTTTGAGACACTTTTGGTCTTTTACCATTTATAGTATAATGGTCTCCTATCGTTCTTCCAAGGAAGAGAAAATAGTTAAAAGTCTTATTAAGTCTCTAAACTGTCCTGGCTGAGCTGACCAAGCCATCCTCCTGCCTCAGCCTCCGTACTTAATGCTCAGATTCTACATACTCTCAACCCTCACCTCCTCAAGATTTCAGTAAATTTACCTCTGCATTGGGAGTACAAGAACGCCTGATGAATCGAGCCTCATTCCCAAAAGTCCTTGCATCAACACACATTTCTAGCCCATGAAATTTAGAATAGAATAAAACAAAAGGATATGGTCTATAAAAGAAAAGAAAAATCACATGTTTTCAACATTTTAGAAAAACAATTTCCTGTCTTTCTTCCAAGGAAAACAGTTAAAAAATATTTGAGAAAACAGTTTAAGAAATTCTACAGGATTCTCAGTAAGTAGAGAAGCACAAGTGTGACTCCACGATCTACCTTTAACTTTGGTTAATTTATGCTAATAAACATGCTATCTCCCCTATTATAACCTTACCTAAGACAAAGGCAATTAATTTAAGGTAGAGATTTATTCATTTATTGACTCTTTCCCTAGTTTTTTGAGATAGGGTCTTGCTGTATAGTCCAGCCTGGCCTCAAATTCATGGTAATCCTCCTGCTTCAACTATTGAGTATTAGTACAGGCGCACACTACCACACTGGGCCTAAAGTAAAGAATGACCACTGTCTTTATAGGAAGATTTATATTCTAGTCCATATTTTTTCTTTGATTTTGAGATCTTTATTAGATGTGTATCAAGCGGGTAATTAGATATATACTAGTGGAGAGATCAGGGATGAATATACAAATCTGGAGGTCATCAGTGTATATGTAAAGCCATTAGACTTGATAAAAACATATAGGAAGAGAGCATAGAATTAGAAAGAAAGAGAAGCCAAGTCCATGTCCTAGAGTATCCCATCAATTAGCAGACAATAAAGAACCTGATTGCTGTAGTTCAATTGTGTCCCCACAAAATTAATATACTGAAGTTGTAAGCTAGTGTGCATCAGACTATGAATTTAGAGGGTCCCTAAAATATAATTGGTTAAAAATAAAGTCAGACTGGAATAGGATGGAACTTAATCTAATGTGACTGGCGTCTTTATAAAAAGGGGAAATTTGAGGGGCTGGGGATTTAGCTCAGCGGCATAAGTGCCTGCCTTGCAAGCAGGCAGTCATGAGTTCAATCCCTGGTACCGATAAAAAACGAAAAAGACAAAAAACAACAACAACAAAAAGGGAAATTTGGAGAAAGGCATATAGGGAGAGTGCCAGGTGAACATCTCAGAGGATTCAGAGGGAGCACAGCCCTTCCGTTACCTTCATCTTAGATACTAAGTCTGTATTTCTTGGTACATTTAAAACTGCTTTATACTTATTTCAGATCAAATCAGCTATGTAAAAGCGGAAAGATTCTTAGGTATCTTGCAAAACTCAAATTATAAACAAGAAATGTTTTTAATAATTTAGGGCACAGTATGGCAATACTATCCCCTTAAAGATAGAAATATACTTCTACATTTTAGGGAAACAGTGGCTAACAGAGGATCACATTAACTCTTCATAAGAATCCCAAAGCACAAAATAGGCCTCCAAAACTATTAAAAAACCAACTCTGTCGGATACCATCACTGTACTAATGCAGGGACAAGCCTATACTGTGTAATAAAGAGGAAGAGACTCTGCTTGGTGACACCATGGTCTTCTCAGGCTCTCGCAATTATGGTACAAGAAATTAGCACAAGTTCTAAATGGAACGTGTTCCTGGTCACTTCAGAAACCCCAGAGTTTCTGATCTATATCCCACATATCCTTATATTGCGTTTTACTTATCTTTGAAGTGTATTTTTAGGATTTTCAACAAGACAGAGCAAGGTAAGAGACTTAAGAGGAATAGATGTGTTTTTATTGTTTGTGATATCAGAGTTCAAATGTTGTCATTAATCATTAGTCAATCATAATACAGTTTCAAATACTGAAATGATTATATCTGGGGGGAAAATGTACAACATCTGAGAGAGATATCCAAAATCCAGTATTTACATAAAATATATTAACATACCTTTTAAAGAAATACCCATTTGCTTCAAACTGTTCTCTTAGCATAAACTTCCCTCTATATTCAATGATAAGTGCATCTGCAGGCAAATCTTTGGCAGATTTCAGAATTTTCTTATTCTTTTGTATATGGCTCTAAAATCACAGTAAATATTGAGATTAGTAAGACTTGGCTGTTTTCAGTCAAATTAAAATATACAGAACCAAAAAAGGTTTTATTTTACAATTTTTTTGACAAAAATATATTTACCTCTACAGGAGGTTTGAAGAGTAAATTACTGATGTTCAATTCTGTTTTACTCAGGTCTTTTTTGTCAGTTCCACTGCCTAATCTCAGAGCTATTCTTTGTGCCTCCCTCTGAATACCCTCGCTGTACTGATTATTATTTGCCTCTTCATACCGATCCATCCATGCTTTGATTTTTGTTTCCCATCCGAAATTTGAACCATCAGATGAAGGATCAATTTCTGGAGCTGAACCCTAAAATTATAGCAAAGTTGATTAAACAGGCATACACAACTCTCAATTACAGTTTATGTAAAAAAACATAAAACAGAAATAGTGTTTGCTTTCTAAGTTAGTGAAAGGAAAACCTTTCACTATGTTAACCTGCATGCTACAAAAATATGAATCAAAAAAATATGAATCAAAAATTCAAAAAAATTGAGCTAGAAAAGAAAGCATTCAAACTTCACTGTCAGGACTATAGCCAGTTCAAGGACTCTAAGAAAACCATAAATATTTAAACCATAGATTCATGTCAGCTAATAGCTAAAAAAGATAGCATATAGATTTTCTGACTTTAAAGAGTCAATACATAGCTATCCTATAGCAACAAACCATCAACTGTTAAAATCTGCAATTATGTGAACTACACATGCTGCATATCAGTATACTTCTGATATATGGTTTTAATATGTTTTATTACAAAACTGTATCTTAATCTAGTGCAACTTCAAGATCATCAGTTGGCCATATGATAAATCTTGTTATAAACGCTGTTCAATTTTCTTCTAAAACGTCAAACAACAGAAAAAAAAAATAAATGCGATATGGAAAATCTAACTACAAAATTTTCTTATTATATAAAGAATTCATAAAGACTTTTACACATCCTGTTAGACATGTATACGTGCCTAGTAGCACATTATTAAAATTTACCATCAGTCCATCCAGCCTTTATACGCACCAATTGTTATTACAAGTATTACTATTTCCTATAATAATGTATAAATTAAAATAAGCTAAGTAACTATTTGATGGGCCTAGGCTTATTTTATCTATTGGTATTTTATGTGTACATATATTGTGCAGTATGGATGATCATTAGATAAAAAGAACAGATTTTGTTAGACACTATATCATGTTAAAGTTTCCCTCTGATTTGTTAAGAGATTCTGTTCAGTGTCTAAGTTATCTCTTTTTTCAGTTCCCAAGAAACTCCTTGACTTGGTCTTTATTTTATGCAGCTCTTCCCTATCTCTTTAAATCTTGTAAAATTTACTACTGAATTACATACTGGATTTGTAATGATTTTTAAACCAGTATTTTCAAGTTAAAGAAAAGGTTTTTTTTATTTACTATTTTATTTTGAGACAGGATCTTGCTATGTAGTTCAGACTAGCTCTGAACACATCATGTAGCCCAGGCTGGCCTTGAACTTGCCAGCAATTCTTTTGCCTCAGCCTCCCAAATGTTGGGATTATGGGCATGCACTGCCACACTTGGCCTAACTTCTTGTTTTTTTTTTTTCTAGCTGAGGGTTTAGCTCAGTGGCACAAGCACCTGCCCGGCAAGTGTGAGGTCATGAGTTCAAATCCCAGTAACAAAAAACAAAAACCCAAAGTGTGTGTGTGTCTGTGTGTTTTTGTATTAAGAATCAAACTCAGGACCTTGCATTTGCCACGCAGGCACTGTGCCACTGAGCTGTATCTCCAGCACCAGAAAAGATAATTTTTAAAGACACACAAAAACTTTTTAAAAACTTTGCACTCTAAAGCCATCTCTTCATGTACTAAAGGAAAGTATCTCAGTTAAGTAAAAGATGCTTTTTTTTTTTATTTCCTATTAACTTGATTTGAAGTCCTATAATACTCCCACTATCTTGTTTTGACTGATTAGACTCTGTTCCGTTCTGTATGATAGTATCAAGTTTGAGGGTATAGGCAACTACTTTGAAGGCAATAAGATTCACTAAGATGCCCATTCTGGTTTTTATCTCCTTTGGAAGTCCTGTAATGTTTACAATGTTTGGGTTTTATTGGTCTTGTTCTCTACTGTTTTGTTCAACTTCATAATACCTAATGAGATAGACAATTCTTTTTAAGGAAGCAAGAGGCATTATGGTAACCATTGTTGATAACCTTGTACTCTGTTTTTACATCATGTACTATGTCTATCCTTGGTTTTGACTGACAGCTTTGTTTTGCCATATTTGACTTTATTCTCTTCCAAAAAAAAAAAAAAAAAGAAGTAATAAGAACTAAGGAGTAATAAAACCCAAAATGTGTAAATTTTGTTGTAAAAAAGAGAGGGGAAAAAAAGGTGCTCTAAAGGATACAACTGCAAGTGTGTTTAGGGGTGTTAAATAAATGACCATATTAATGTTTTTGGTTGGATCATTGAACACAACTGTTTACAGTCTCACTGTTTGAATGTCCACTTTGTATGCTTTGATACTGTGACTTGAGCAACTATCTCTAAGATGATAATGTGTAATCGATTAACTGGTGATTTCTTACTGTTTTTTTTGTAGTTCTGTATTACTTGTACCCTTACACTGCTTTGTTTTGTTTTGTTTTTTCTCTTTTTCCTTTTAAATAAAATTAAAAAGAAAAAAAAGATGCTTCTTTTACATGTGGCCTAATTATGGGTGACTAGATAAACTGAGACAGAGAAATGCTGGAATATTAATATTCAATAGCAATAAAAAAAATCTTTCAGACATCTCTAGTCTACAAATTCCATAAAGCAAAGTTAACAGTAAGTATAAAACCTCTAACTTTGGGGCTGGAGATTTAGCTCAGCGGCATAAGTGCCTTCCTTGCAAGTGTGCGGTCGTGAGTTTGATCCCTGGTACAGATAAAAATGAAAAAGACAAAAAAAACCCAAAAAATCAAAAACAAAAACAAAACTCTAACTTCCACACATATAGAACCATTTTATGGAACGATGGATTTTCAATATGCTAAATGAGACACATTAACTTCCTCAGGGAGAATTACAAAACTATGAGAGAAGAATCATTTGGGAATATCGGTTAATATTTTCTGTTTTCCAAAAGTCTGACAACAAATGTTTGTAACACACTCATCACATCCTCAATGTCTCACACTTTCAGAACTTATTATCTTTTAATGCCTAATCCAGAAAGACACAGCAACAATACAAAGCTACCTCTTTAACTCCTATATTTTAGGGAAGAAGCAGCGGTACAAAGCCTTGCTTCTCTCAGCAATTTTAACATCTAGAAAATTGAGAATGTACTTATTCTAATTAACTTAAGGTACACATGACTACTTTGTATCTACATGCAAATCTACAGAGACTGTATGGTAGAACAATGGCTTTGACTTCTTAGGAATTCCAATAATGCAAAAGAGCAAATTTTCACTCTGCTATTATGATTTTACATTTGTAAGAAACTATATTAAAATAGTCAGAAATATAACACGCAGTTAGACCACATTCTAATAACCCTATTTCAAATTATTTATATATCTCCCTTTTTTGATTATTTTTAGAATATTAAAAAAAAGTGGCATATTAATCCACTTATAATTCTAAGGTCTCACTTCCTGTCAATGTAATAAGCAATGAAGAGAACATAAAGATTGGACAGTCACTTAGTAAGTTTCCAAAAACTGACATTTCATAATAATACTTTCAACTTAACATACTTACCTTAACTCTTGATGACTTTCTAGATCCTTCACGGAAGGCCTAAAATAATCATGAGATTCTGAGTCAGTTTTTTTTTTTTTTTTGAAAGCTACGTATAATACTAAGAATTAATGAGTTCACTGAATTTTTTTTACTAAAATGTAAAACTAAGTTTGGTAATCGCTAGTAGCAGTAGAACTGGGAGAATGCTCGAGTAAAAAAAGGTATGTACTAGGATTTGTTCTATTACAAACATAATGCAGGCTATTTAGAATACAAAAGTGTGTCTATAATATGATGCTAATACAAAACTGCAAAAATTTATTTGCTCAATGTTACAGCTGTCACTATTGTATAATATGATGCCCGCAGATATTAATTATATGTATTCTACATGTCAAAAAGCTAGAAGAGGGCTAGGGATATAGCTCTATAGGTAGAGCATTTGTCCAGCATGCACAACGCCCTGGGTTCTATTTCTAGGACCCACTCTCCCAACAAAACCTAGAAGAGATGATGAGAAATGACATAAATATGTTTAACTCCATTTAAAAATCAAGCAAATATTACTTGGTATCTTTAACATATATAACTTTTTTATCTATTAGTTGAAAATTTTAAAAAATAACAATTATATACATAGAAATATATTTATAAAAATTGGGAAGGCAGGATATTGCTATTACTTTAATTCTCTAAGCAACCAGCCAATAATATTTCTGCCTTTAATGGCTAAACTTCATGTTCAAACCAAACTAATTAATTCAATAAATATTTACTGAAATCCCACTTGGCAGCCAAATTCACAGTGAGTTAAGACTTGGTTTGGAGATGCAGCTCAGTGGTACAGCACTTGCCTAACACTCATGAGGCTAACAGTTCCATACCTACACTATGCAAACCTAAAGACAGTAACACAGATCCAAAAATATTTCAGTAGTAAATTTACGTGCAAATGACATGTTTAAAAAGAGTTTTTTTTTTTTTTTTTAAAAGAAGGAAAATATCTTTACATAAATCACTGGAGGGAAGGGAGTTAAATGAACTTTGTGGAATGTATGTGCTCAAATAAAAAGAAGACTGGTATGAAAAGAAGCCAAGAAACAGGAAGAAATTATGTATCATTCAAGGAAAAATTAATATAATATCACTTATCTACTGAAAAGTAGTGGAAGATGAGACTGATTTCTAAATCATGGAAATTTCTAAATTAAGTCATGGGAGCTTTACTTAAAAAGGTTTTATGATTCTGACTTAAATATTGTATTGTTCTTTACTCTAAATAACCTATAAAATACTTCTGAACAGAAAAAGAGATATAAAAACAGTATTTATGCCGGGGGTTTAGCTCAGCAGCATAAGCACCTACCTGGCAAGGGTCAGGTTATGAATTTGATCCCCAGTGCCACAAACAAACAAACACACAACAACAGTATTTACAGAAAATCTGATAACCACATGCAGAATGTGGGCAAAGAGAATCAAGTAAGCAATATCAAGGATAAAAAGAAGATGCCTGGCAAGCACAATGTCCCGAGTTCTATTCCTGGTACAAAAACAAAAGGTAACTGTAATACTTGTATCATTATGAGGTACTTTGGGCTTAGACAAAGTTTGTAGCAGCAAGAGAGCCAAAACTTTATCAGACACATTTCAAAGGAAAAGTCAATTAAAGCTTTTAGGAACACATCTAGATGTCAAAGAATAAAGTCAACCTAAAAAGTTTAGAGCTTCAGTATTGCCTGTATAAGCGAGAGACAGACAGACACAAGAATGGATAGCCAAAGTGAAGGTATAAGTTTGGTATAGATAGGATAAGAGAAATGATATAGATTTGAGTATCACTTATTTGCTTTTTTTGTTTTTGTTTTGTTTTGAGGCAAGGTCTCACTATGTAGTGCAAGCTGGCCTTGAACTCACTTATGTAGCCCAGGCTGGCCTCGAATTCATAGTAATCCTCTTGCTTCAGCCTCCTGAGGGCTGGGATTATTGTTCAAATTCTTGAAACTAGAAGTCTAATTGAATTTATTGGGGGGGAATGATTTGAGATTATTTGCATAAACTGTAATGTAAAAGTTGAGCATCCCTAATCTCAAAATTCACAATCTAAAACTTTTTTAAAATTTTTCAGATTCTAAAGCTTTCCAGATTCAGATTTTCAGATCAGGGACACTTAATGTATCACAGAACATTTCTAAATAATGTTTGCTGAAAAAGTTTTATGAAATAAAACAATAAAAATCATACATAATTGTTACTGGTGATTAACTCACGACCTCATGCTTGCCAAGCAGGCACTTGTGCCACCTGAGCTAAACCCCTGGCCTAATATTTTATTTTAAAGGGAAAAAAATAACAAAGTTTCAAAACATGGTAATTAGAGGGTAACAATGGGCAACACATTTTGTACTGTTATCTTTAAATTAGTTACTCAGAGTACAAGATACCTACATTTAATTGTCCAAATATTATCAGCACAAACCATTATTTTCAATGAACTAAGAGCAATTAGTATAATTATATTAAAAATCATTTCTATATATACACACATTTCTATATAATTTTTTTTAGCTTCTCACACTAGTCTCCCTTATTAACAATGTTAATACTTCATGCCAACATTAAGTTGCTAAGATACCAAGAATACTTCAGTAGAATTCTATAAATATATAAAAAATGTCATCTGTTCAAATACTTATTGCTAGCCATAAAAACAGGCTAAGAGAAAAGCAAAACTAAATCCTTGTGCTAAGTGTTTCGTATGACATATTGCCCCAATAATAACAATTTGGCAGAAGACCAAACTCGTTATCTTTTATGCCCAATTCCTCGACTCTTTTTCCCCCTTCCAATCACTGTCAAGTATTACTAATCTAAAGCCTGAGAAAACCTCTTCCCTTTTAAATACACAGCAATATTCTAAAGTAAACATGACACCGTCAAAATTCAGGATTTATTCATTTTAAATACCCAATAAAACAGAAATACATATAGTAGACATGGTAGCATATGACTGCAACCTAAGCACTTGGGAGGCAACTAAGGCAGGAAGAGCCCTGCAAGTTCAAGGCAGCTTGGGCTTGTATTTTTGCTTCAAAAACAAAAATATAAAATGAAACAAATAAACAAACAACCCACAAAACATCAAATTTCTACGTAACTGGGCCTAGAGATACTGCTTAGCAGCATAAGCGTCTGCCTAGCAAGTTCAACGTCCTGAGTTCAATTACTGGTACCAAAAAAGTTCTAAGTAACTTTTATTCAATAAAGTATACATAATCTAAAAGCAGTAGACAAAAAGGGAATCAATACCTATAAGTGAGTCCCTAAATCATAAGGCACTTAACAGTGTCTGTGAAAATTATAATCTATCATATATGAGGACACCAATAATAAAATAAGACAAAATGTGGTTAAGAATAGAAATAGAAAGTTGAAATGGCATGAAAGACCATACCTGATAAGTAAACAGCAAATTTTATGGAAGCAGTAGCTCTTGAGATGGACCTCAGTTTAACAGGAGACAAAGGTAGAGAAGAGAATATTCAAAATGGTGAAACAATTAGAATAAACAAGGTAAGAGAATGTGAGTAGACAGTGAATTATCCACAATGGATAAAATTCAGGTAGAAAAGGAAAAGAAATGGAAAGGGACACACATAAAAGAGTACTATAGTTAAGCTGATTTTAAACAGGGAGGTAAAACTAGAAAATGAAACATGTATTTAAAGTACTTATGTCCACAAAATAACCTAAGAGATCTTGAAGAATTATTGGTGGGGGAGCTTTTGAAACCTTGATTTCATATCTAGATATAATTTCACTCTATAATAGCAATACACTTATTGTGAAAGTATTTTTTGCCTTAAATAACAAAGATCTTCCTCAGCAATAATAGTCACATATTGCTTAACAACCAAGATACATTCTAAGAAATACATCATTAAGCTCTTTCATATTCATTGCAAATACCATAGGCTGTACCCACACAAACCTACAAGGTCTAACATCTTCCACACCTCAGCTATAAAGTGCAGCCTATCCATCCTAGGCTGCAAACCTAGATAGTATACAGTGTAGGCAACTGTAATATAATGAAACTTGTGTTATGTAAACATCCTAAACACAAAAAAGCCACAGTAAAAGTGCTGGGTGACAGAAGTTTTCACTTTACATTCTTATGGGACCACCAATGCATATGTGATCCATTACTGACTGAGAAATTTTATTAACAAATTTAATGAAAAGTAATAATCCACCATCAGAGGCTAGGGATAAATTATGAAAAATACGTTAAGTGTTACAAGAAAAACTACTTTAACGAATAGGAAACCTTACTAAAATAACTGAATATTTTACTTTCTAATATGTTATTTGAAAATTTAGATCTCTTTCCACCTGTGTTCTAAAATAGCAACCTTTTCTATTGTACTTAGGCTTTGCATTTCTATCATTAGCCTAAGTAAAGTGATAATTTCAAAGCAATCTGCAGTTTCTTCTCTATTCTACTTCAATCTGTAAAATGCACTGAAATTTTAAAGTAAGTTTAAACTTTGGTTTTTTTTGGTACTAGGAATTGAACTCAAGACCTTGAACTTGCGAGGCAGGAACTTATGTCTCTAAGCTACATCACTGGCTCTAAAATAAGTTTAATTAAATGATTTTTGCTAAACTGTGCCGCCTATTCAGTTGCTAGTCATTATTTTCACTTTCCTATAAAATTCAATGCGCAGCTACCATCTTTTCATCTAAAAAGAAGCAAGAACGTACCTTTTTACATTTTGAGATGTTTTGCTCCTTCTCCCCACTTTTTTTCCTCCTTTTATCATTGCCTGTGGAAGCTCTGGATGTAGTTAGAGTAACTGAGGTGGGTGTGTGCTGGAATGCAGTGTACAGCTCCACGGGGACTTCATCACCACTCTCTGTTGCACTGGTATCACCATCTTCAAATGCAAAGCAAAGTCACTGCACATTTCATACTGTTATTCCAAATAAAAACAGCATTCCACAGGCAGAGCATTACTATCTCCCTTCTAAAGAACAAACACCTTTTATTACATTTTCACTCACATTACTTGTAAGAAGATACAGTTAAGTGCAAACTACAGATATTGTTTCTCACACATCAAACTACACAGTCCAAAAGTCTGGCTCTGATGGAATGACTGGAAAAAGAGGCACTATCACAATTGCCAGCAGTGTTTCAAAATTTCCCATGGAGGGCAAGTTATGTATGTACTTAGCCACTTGACTCAGACATCCCATTTCTAGAGATCTAGCTAAAAAAGTAGGAGCTAGGCATAGTGGTGTCCACCTATAAACCCAGCACTAGGGAGGCTGACGCAGGACAAACACTACAAGTTTAAGGTCAGTGTAAACTACATAGTGAGACCTTGTCTCAAAAAAGAAAAAACAAATTAGTACACAAAGCTTACACATGAGGGTTTTACTGAAGGTACTGTTTTGTAATTAAAAAAAAAAACAAAAACTGGAAACAACTCAAAATATTCATCAAAGAAGAATGGTTGAATAAACAATAATTATTTAAAACCAGTTGTATTGGATCTAAACACAATGTTTTAAGACAAATGAAAATTGGGGCATATATTATATAAAATCTAGAAAATTCTGTCTTAACCATGAAAAATTACTATTCCACATAATAAACGAATGGATCACCAACTCTTTGAATAACATACTTTACTTCTTTAAATCAATAAGGTATCTATATGTAGGAAAACTACAGATAATTTAAACTTTTCATTTTGTTTTCTTCATGTTTCCTAAAGTAAGTACATACTTATTCATCAATCCATTAAAAAGAATATTTAAAATCACCTAAGACCATAAAAAAAACATATAATCAAAATTTATCAACAGGGGTTTACATGTAACTAAAAATATGCAGGCTACATACTTTCTCAATCACAGTAACCATAGTTTAGTGTAGGTACTTTACTCACCTGACATATTTTCCCTTTTCCGGCGTTGTAGTAGCACTGCCCTCTCTTTATCCAGACTCCTACATCAAAACATTACCATGGTTATTTGTCACATTCTCATTAAGGTAGATGTAAAGCACATAGGTTTCCAATGTCATGAACTTTATAATTTCTTTAATATTATCAGTGAAAAACATATGCTATATATGCAACATCTCTTGCCTTACAATTTAGATATGATCTAGCACAACAGCAGTAATGCCAGTTAGCTGACACCACTTATTCTGTTTAAAATATAATTCTTTACCTAAGAAATAAGTATACTTTTTTCAAAATCAGTATTTAAAACAAAATAACTGAAAGAAGACATGAGGTTAATGATACAATTAAAATCATAAATTTCTTAAATGTATGGTGCTAAATTAGTATCTACTGCACATTATCTTATACCTTATATTATTCTCGCTCTTGAAATAGTAAACACTAAACATTTGACAGGCAAAATAACCATACATTAACCTCCACCAGCCTCTATCGACGAGCTGTATGAAACATTCTTTTACATTTTCCCCAACTTTTTTATTGTATATACTTAACACCACAGAAAACAAACAATACTAGATTACTCTAAAGGGAGAGAATAAGGGGCTGTAGACTAAAATGACTACAGTTCAGTAAGATTTGCTTTAATGTCTACTAGAACATGTAATTATCATCCTAGTATATAAGATAATAATCCTTGTTATCACAAAATGAGAAGCTGCTCTCTCAAATAACTGCCTTTCTAATGGCTAGTTTTTAACTAGCCTTCCTGAATTCATCAACACATCATTTATTCCAACAAAAACTATCTGACAAAATACTAATAACTATTGTAAAATGAAACACTCGTAATAAGAGAAATACAAAGCAGGTTGTAGTGGCACAAGCCTATGACTCCAGCCCTTGGGAGGCTGAGGCAAAAGGGTCATTAGGAGTTCAAGGGAAGCCTGGGCTACATAGTGAAACCCTGTCTCAAAAAAACAAAAAACCTACACTGATGTTAATACTTTCACCTAAAGAAACTGGCAAAAATCTAAGTCTGTCAAATACTCTTATTGTGAGATATGGGATAGTATGTATGCTTTTCCATTGTTGATGGGAATTTTAAATTGTACAGTTCCTACTGGAGGTGACTGTGGTAAAATCTGGCAAAATGAATAAGTGAATAATCTTCCATTTCCAACAACAAAAGACTGAAAACAAAAGTCCTCTCAAAAGGTACTAGTTAAATGAACTACAGTATATGAAAAAAAGTACATTGAGGCTAAAACAGAAAATGAATCATTCTATACTGCTATGATCCCTATACTTTTGTTCTGAAACATGGTCTCGCTACATACTCAATACATGACAACCACTTATAATTGTAAGAAAAAAAAAATTAAATGTAACAAGTCCTCTGTCTAATATGCTTCTGCTCATCTAGATAAAAAGGGACACAAGCACACAGGTCCACATCTGCATGTAAGAGAACAAGCAATGGAAGGAAAAATCTATTTTTACAATTGTTACTTCTGGGATAAAAGGAATAAAAACAAAAGTTAGACTTATTTGAATATGTGTTTCATATATTTGATTTCAGAGTAACAGAACTACTTCTTACAAAGTTATAATGTATACAATTAAAAATTAACAAAAAAGGATTTCTCAAAATTAAATGACTAGATTACTCATACATTTCTGAAGGGAATGTAAAAGGGTTTAGTCTTTATGGAAAATAGTTTGACAATTTCTTATAAAACTACTCATGAGGGGCTGGGGATTTAGCTCAGCGGCATAAGCACCTGCCTTGCAAGCAGGCAGTCGTGAGTTCGATCACTGGTACCAGTAAAAAAAAAAAACAAAAACAAAAACACCTACTCATGCAAATACTATACATCCAAATAACTCTTAGGCATAAATCCCAGGGGAAAAATCACTCAGATTCACATGAAAACATGTACACAAAAGTTCATAGCAACTTTATTTGTAATAGTCTACAAAGTATAAACAATCCAAATGTTTTTCCAAGGATGAATGGCTATTAAAAACAGTGTAGTACATATATTTCATTGGATGCTACTTTCCACAATCAAAAGAATGAAATAGTCACACATGCAACAAATCACACAGGTCTCCAGGGAATTGTGCTGTGCGAAAAGGCCAGTCCAAAAAGGTCACAAACTGGATATCACATAATACATGGTTCCATTTATATGACATTCTTGAAATGACCAAATCATAGAAGTACAGTATAGATCAGTGGTGTTTGTAGCAATTGAAATGTTCTTTGCTCCAACTCCTTCACTTTATATCAGTTTTATTAACAATTTCAAAAGATGTTACCATTAGAGGAAACTAGGTAAGGGCAGACAAGCTCTTTCTGTATATATTTTTTACAACTTTAATGCAGTTGATAATTAATCAGTAAGTTTAACTATCAAAATAAAACATAAATAATTTAAGTGTGCATTTAGTTGATGTTGTAGTCATGAAATTCTTTCAAAAGATTTCAAATAACAAATTGCACAGTCTCATAGGCTATAGTCCAAGGAGAATAAAGTTTTAAACTGCTTTTACATTATCCTGCTTATGGTGCTAGTGTTGGTGTTGTTACTTCCTAGGATTAAGTAATTGAGTAATTATGTGATATCTTAATTACCTCATTCTTGTGCTGTTGAGAACTAGGTGCATATATGTATAGTTTTTAGTTTAAATAAAAACTTGCATTCTTAGATTTGAAATACAATCATAAGAATAAATTCACATATTTTAGCTTAAAAGTAAACAGGTTTTTTTTTCAGTAAACAAATACGTAGATTCATGGGAGTTCACTGTACTATTTTTGCATAGTTTTAAAAATGTTCAGAACACATCTAAAAACAAAAAATAAACTGAGGGGACCCCAAATAATATAGATGAGAGAAAGGACAGCTCTACTAAATTTTGTATATAACTAAGGTAGCATTCTAGTGACTTGTTAGCATAATATATTCCAGTGAAAAAAGATATATTTTGAAATGCATATTATTTCATATATCACTAAAAGTAAACAATGAGGCACTGTCAATAGAAAAATTGATTTTAGAACTATCAATATACAAAAATAATAGTACATATAAAAATGAAAAAATACACCTTAAAATTAATGAAATACATTGATGCCTTGGTTTGCAAACTTAATTTGTTCTATGATTTTAAATAAATGGCCACATCTGTGTTTGTGTGGGAAAGATAGCTGTGGTCATGTTTATCACCAAATGCAGAGTTTGCAAACAAAGACAAAATTCTGCCAAATGCTTGTTTCAGAAACAAATTGTTGCCAACAAAAATGTTCATGAACCAAGGTACCACTATACAGTGATTCACTTAATTTAGAAATTAAGAATAAAATCCTATGAATTTTTTCAGTATAATTACTGGCAATTTCATCAGGTCTGTACAGCTTACCTAGGCTGACAACGTTCACATAGATATGTATCAGGAATATGCTGCCTGTCGATCCCCATGCAGTCAATATGTTGCCAAACACTTAAAAGGAAAAAAGGGTGAGGGAGTAGAGAAAACATTAAAATCATATTTAAAACTTGATATTCCATTTAAATATCATGTTATAAGGGTCTACCTTTGAGTTTAGCACTGGAAAAGATGCCATGAGGAATTCACAGAAATATGTCCTCAGAGAGATAAAAGTTTTGAGATGTAAAAACAAGAGGGCAAATATAGATACACAAAATAAATTTCTAAGTAAACACAAGATGCATAAAATAAATTTATTTTTTAAAATGTAAAAGTTATAAATCACAAGGTGGAGATGTCCACACTATGTGGAACTGATGGGAAAAGTACCTGGAGAACAATGGGTGTGATGAGAACATCACTCTGAGAAACAAGTGCAAAAGCATTATTGCAGCATTTACCACTAGCAGACAGAAAAGAAGGTGGTCAGACAGTGGTCAATATATATGAAGAGACTATTCATTTTGTGAAATCAAGGAAGGGGTTAAAAATAGATTAAGTATAGCCTATAGATAGCGCCTGGATCATTGGGAAGTGTGTAGATTTAATCTGTCAGCGTGTAATGATTTTAGTAGCATATATTAATTAAAGAAGCTAAGAAAACAAAAGCAAAATGACCAACTAGGAGACCTTCCCAACATTTCACACTTAGTTAAAAACTGCAATAATAGCAAATAACTATTCAAAGAAACCCAATGGTATTCCATGAGGAGGGAACTTAAGCCTAATTACTTTTAATGCAATGGGCCAGCTTGAAACGAATGTCCCAATTTGTTTTGAATTTTATTACCAAAATTTCAATTGTCTAAAATATACATTATGTTCCCAAACATAGTCTTTTAATTTTTTTTTTTTTTATTTTTATCGGTACCAGGGATCAAACTCACGACCGCCTGCTTGCAAGGCAGGTGCTTATGCCGCTGAGCTAAATCCCCAGCTCCCCCAAACATAGTCTTAAAACTTCTTTACATAAAAACTAGCCATGTCTAATATAAAAGTACTAAACTAACCAATATTGTGTTGTTTTTTACTTCTCAATTGAAAAAACTGAAAATATTTGGACAAGAACTAGAGAATGTTGGAGTATGAAAATATATATTTAAAAAATGAAAAAAGCAGGATAAAGAATGAGGAAACTTAAATTATGTTACATTTGAGAGGTAGTGATGTCACGTAGACAACACAACTAGAAAATTAATAAACAGAGCAAGACATGTCAGACTTGAAAAGATGGGTATAGGCAATAGGACATTGAAAAAAATAAGACACAATGTAAAGAAAGAAAAGAAAAAAAAGAGTAAGCCTTGCAGTAATACAGGTTGAACAACCGAAAAAATAATCAGAGAGGGATGGGGAAAAGGAAGGGAGAGGGGGTGAGGAAGTCAGAGTCATAAGGACAAGGGTGGCCACTGAGAAGCAAATATCTTAAATAATCCAAACACTGTGAAGCTGTCCTATCACAATGTATAGATGGATATTAGAAAAAAAAATACCCTCTAAAGACCATTTCATTACATTCTAATAAAGATAATCACATATTTATAGATCACTGTAATTTGATCAAAAGAAAAACATTGTTTAGGTTATCCATTAAAATAAAACACTGCCAAATAGTATGTAATTTTTCCATTAGATGATCAGATAATAGGTTGGCTATAATAAACTTGACACTTTCTAATACAAGGAAAGCAGTAAGCAACTAAAGTTGTGTTCTGTTTCTTAAATTTACCTTCTAAATAAATTTATTGAGGTCATTACTTGTAATAGTATTTATCACAGGTAATGAAAATTTATTTTTATTTGAGTCTAGTAAAATAAATTCAAAGTATTCACATTAACAACCCTGCATAAAACCATATCAAATATAATCTACAGCACTTTCATTTTCAACTCCTCATCACTTACTCTAACAGCTGGGAACAACATTAACATTACAAATACTGCAAAATAATTTATATTTGGCTCCAAGATACATTTTTATCCTCACATTCAAATATAGATATAAACTATACTACTTCAAATAACTTAGCTATGCCATAAAGACATGAACCCAGGAAATTCTGTAACGCTACCAAACTTTCTTTTTCTCTACAATGCATTGCTGAAATACCCTGCTCCTCACCCTATGTAGGGAATGAACTTAGTAACTTTAAGGCTGAAATCCTACTGTTCCCTCTCCATCCTCCCCAAATCCCTCCCACAAAACAAGAAACAAACAAAAACCACCAAAAAATAGAAAAAAAAAAAAACTGAAAGAAAACCCCACTTTCTGTCCCAATCACACCTTCTCTAGGGGAAGAAGCCTTTCTTGGTGGTTGAACCAGGGTTGGGGGAAGGGGAGACTGTGGTTCTGGTACAAGAAGACTCCAGAGTGCTGCAAGGTTCAAGTCAAAAGGAGGTGAGAGAGTCAGGTCAAACAAACATCAATTAAAATCTTTAATTCCCCTAAAGTGGAAAATCACAGTCGACTACACAGCACAAATCATTCCGATGGAAATACAAGGGACTCAAAATTCTCCTCTCATTTCTAACCTATCTATTCCTATATGTATACTTGTATCACTGTTGAACTAAGTAAAGAGATGATCCCAAATGAATAGCGTTCAGAACGAATTGTTACGTAACTTACAATGGGAATTTCTAATAGGCTCTAATATAGCTTCTTTCAATAAAGGCTTTTTAAAGGGACAAAACAGATTGCATCAATAGAAACAGAGTATCACTTAAAAATGTGCTCATTAATTTCTCCAAAATGACTTCAGTTATCATGTCCAAATTAACAATCAAGGTTAGAAGCATCCAAGAAAAATAAACTAATAGTATGAGATATTTTACCTGCATTTGTCACAACAGATCATGTATCCATCATCATGTGTAAAACCACATATGCACCTGGTTACATCAGTACCGTAACTTCCATCCTCAGACGTGCTGATAGTAGTAGCACTGGAAGTTTCATCAAAATTAGGAGTGGTAAATATGCCTACTTCATTTCTGCTAATAAGAACTGATGGAGGAGGGGAAGCTGGAGGTGTTGGAGGAGGACGAGCACCATAATTATGGTCCTGGATAAGAGAATACAAATACAGCATGTTGTGAGCTACAGAACTTAAAATCTAATCATTACTTTGAAGACTCAAGGGATATGAAACTGGCCTATTTCTTCTTTAATATCTTGACAATAATGACTTAATGAGGCTAAATCTTTGTTTCTTGAGACAGGGTCTCGCTATGTAGTTCAGGGTAGCTTTGAACACACTAGGTAGCCCAGCCTGGCCTTAACCTTGCAGCATTTCTCCTGCTCCAGTCTCCCCAGCTCTGGGATTATAGTATGTGGCACCATACCCAGCTGATGAAGTGAGACCTTACAACACAGTGGTTACGTGAATAAAGCTATTCAGAAGGGGTGAGAATGGAGCATTACCCTCACATCAACATCATCTCCCCTTCCCCAAATCAGAAGATTCTTCACAGTTCTTTGGTCACATAGCTTCAACTTCAAGATGAAAGCATGTACATAAGAGAATAGACTTTTTTTTTTAAACCCTAAGGAATACAGAGCTTAAGAATAACAAAAACAAAAGATAAAACTATTACTGTAAAGTATAGAATACGGGATTTTTAAAAACTGGTACTATTCTAGTCCAAGTAAAAGTTCTCATAATTGAACCTTCATAATATCACAACTCCAGTTCTAAAACTGTCTAAATCTAAACTTTGCCTCCTACTATGTGAGGGTAAACAAATTAACTTAGACAAGCTTTTATTTCTCAGCTATGGAACAGAAATGAAAGCTGTTTTCATGAGGTTGCTTCTGAGGACTAAGATTAGCCTGGCACACAACAAATGCTCAACAAATGATAACTATATAATTATGCAAATTACTATATAACTTAGAATACATAGCACAGTATAACCTAAATCCATGGTCTCATCAAATTACTAATTATATAAAATTTATGAATAATTATAATTTTAAAAAATTTAATTCCTTAATATGGATAGATTAAAGCTAAATTATAAATTATATATCTAATTATTCAAATATAAAACAACTGTGCTTATAAAATTCTGAGTTTTAAGCACAATATTACACGTCATTTTTCAACCTCTAAATTTTAAAAATATTCTTTCAAAGAAACATTCAACACTTACCGCATAGGGCAAACCAATGTAACTGTGTGAATGATGTGAGCTGCTGGTATATAACTGGTGGGGATAACTGTTGGATTTCTCAACTACCACAGGGCTAGCTTCTACAGATTCTGGTCTGGGGAGAAAAAAAGTTCCATCAATGAGAATGCAATTCATTTTTTTTCCTTGTAATCAATTTAAAATAAGTATTAAAACATCAGCAATACAAATACAGTATCTACAGTAGATAGATAACTTGTGAATAAGACATACTCTATCTAGATTTTGGATTAAAAAGGCTTTTTGTTTAACTAAAATAAATGTCCTACTTGAGTTCAAATAGAGTTTTCCTCTCTATCATTTAAAAAAATTACTAAAAACCCAACATTATACAAAACAGCCAACGGCACTGGGAACACTAAACATAGAGCAGAAAGAAGTGGCAGACTGATTAAGCAGGACCGAGGACACAACGAAGCTAAATGGACCTTGATGTAAATGTGTCTACTTTAATGTTAAAACTATATACACGTGTTGAGTATGCTGAGATATAACAAAGCCTTGGAAATGTCAGTAAGTTAGGCAACAGGAAACCTCATAGTGAAGCAGGACTGATACCTGAAAAAACACAAGCAGCAGCCCCTACAAGTTCTGTAGTTCTGGCCTGGTAACACTTAGGTAAATGGTGACTGACCTCTCTTGCTACCATTCGCCAGCTGTTGCTGATTCATAAAGTCTCTGCCCTAGCACTTTGTATATGTCACTTTCCCAACTTCTTTACTCATTCCAAACCTCCTAAGCTATTAGTCAGTGTGGTAACATACCTACATCAGAGGTCAATTCATATCAGAATTAATCTCTCCTTTTCACATACACAAAAACACAATCTGTTTCTGTGCTAACACTTTACAATTCTATTAACTACTAAAATGATTTTTCCCGCAACAATCCTTATCTGTAAATTTCCTTACAACTTAGTACTATTTGTACTACTAATAGTTTGCAGCTTGCAGATCATATTCTAGTTGGTCTAAAACCAGCAGCACGCAAACAAATTTTGTTATCAACTGTTTCTTCATGTATTCTCCCTCCCTCTCAAGTCTCAATCTAACTATAAATAGAGGCTGCTATGGGACCTAGTATGCCAGAATAGAAAAAGAAGGCACAAACAGAAGTTATTAATTGGTAATACAGGGGTTTTCAAAAAGAAGTCTCCAGTATGTTCTGAATACTACGCAGTCAAACCTTTTCCTTACTTTCTAAATTGATACATGCTCATAAATTTTCAATACAGAAATATGTACAAAAGACTATCATCATTTAACCTCCATTCCCATATCAATATTGCCTTATATTTCCTTCTAAATTTTCTGTGCATAAATATCTACACAAAGTGTGATCAAAATATACACTAAGAGACACACTGTCATTAATCTCCTTCAAAATATTTCCCACTGCTTCAAACTTATCACATCATTCTTGCAATGTTTCCTTTTTTTTGGGGGGGGGGTCACACAGACTATTGAAACAGGGTCCTGCTATGTAGTTCAGGCTGGTCCTGAACTCACTGTGTAGCCCAGGATGGCCTTGAAACTCCCAGTGATCCTACCTCAGCCTCCCAAGTACTGGAATCACAGGTGTGTGCCACCATGCTTGACCTCTTGCCATATTCTGAAGCAGTTCTATAAGATCTCTTTCATGAATGTCTTTACAAGTTGTGACCAAAAGTATGGCAAATGCATTAGCTGAGTGCCATGCAACAAAAAAGAAGACTCCTAAAAGATTATGTGTCCCCATCCATTTTATTCACCAGAACTGACACCATATGAGTTCTAGCTTCTCTCCAAAGTCAAAATGCACATGAAAGGTAAATGTTTTGCATTAATTCAGGACATCCAGGAATCCATGACAATGCAGCTAAATACAGGGAAGAGGACTACTTCAAAAAGTGAAGAAAGGGGCTGGGGATTTAGCTCAGAGTGCAGTGTCTACCTGGGTAAGCATAAGGTCCTGAGTTCGAATCCAAGTATCCAAAAATAAGTGGTAAGAATGATGGAATAAATTTGTTTCATGACAGGAGGCATATTCTGAGGGAAATAATAATTCTAATGTGTCTCTGACTGTAATACATTTTTAAAAATTTAAACATTTATTGTATTTTTCAATCATAACGTATATTCACATTTGCTTTTTCCACCTTTAAATGTCAATACACAGCTACCTTACTTTTTGGTAGTAATTGCTTATTTCACTATATGAATGTGGTATCTCTCACTATAAAAGTATCACTGCAACTGTACATCCCAACCATATGTCTTTTTTGCATACATGGTAGTGTTTATACAACAAGGATCTCTGGAAGTACAAGTGCTAAATGAAAAAGGATAAATACACATAAAATTGATAAACACTGCCAAACTGTCACTATTTTACAATATTCACTCCATTAAGAATTCTTTTAAAATTACAAAGTAGTAGTAGCATTTTAGCAATGATCCATAATACTATTAATAAAGCAACATGTAGGAATCGCGGCCAGTGTAGACAGATTTAAGGATTTAGATCAAACTCTTCAATTTTACTAAAGAGTGTGGGAAAACTTTGGATATTTTGGAGTAATTAATGGTTAGAAATAAAATCAAACTTTCAGTGGAAATACAGATGAATTCAAACATTAAGAGTCATAAATATCCTGTATGACTTCACGATTCCAACTAAAGCTACAATACAAGGGCTGGGAATTTACCTCAGTGGCTCAAGTGCCCGCCTGGTAAGCAGGAGGTTGTGAGTTCAATCAATCCCTAGTACTCAAAAACAAACAAAGCTACAATACTGACAAGCTGGCAATGAAAGAAAGCAAAAATACTTAGATCCTCATGCCCTAAAGATAATTTTAAAAACAAGGTAACAATTTTTTTTTAAATTGGTTGATATATTTTAAGAATTTTACAAACCTAAATCAATTAAGTTTTAAACAACCTTTTAAAAAAGTTAACAGGTATTATTAAAATAAAAGGCCTTTATGCAGTTATATTTCAAAGCTCTGCATTTCTATTGCAAGGTCAATCAGAAAAACAACTTTATGACAAATAACAAAAGTCAAACATCCTCCAATCCAATCCCTGTTTTTGAAAACTTATCCGAGGGGAATAGTTCCCAGTAAAGTCTGACCTACAGATTTGAGATGTTTGTTTTAACACCATTTAACTAGAATTCTGAATAGAAATACTGTGTCAAATCAACAGGTAATGATTAATTACATGCAAGGAAACATTATATGAAAATTTACAAGTGAACAATAGCAGAACATAAACTCTTAAAAGCTTCTACATTAAGGTGAAATGAATTTCCTTATAAATCTCCTGCAATGCCATCGTATAATAAATTGTGCATAAATAGAAACAATAGTAGTAGTAGTTGTTATTTACAAATCTGACTAATCCTGTTTTAAATATTTAGTTTATTTAAATAAACTAAATGTGCAAGGTATCAAAATGCTCCTTATTTAATAAATATTTACTGAACACCAAGAATGTATTATATTAACAAAGTCTTTATAAAGTCTGTTCTTTCTAAAATACATACCCAGCAGGGCATGGTGGCACATGTCTATAATACCAGCACCTGGGAGACTGAGGCAGAGGATCACCACAAGTTTGATACCAGCCTGGGCTACAAAGTGAGCTCAAGGCTAGCCTGAACTGCGTACGAGAGACCCTGTCCAAAAGATCAAAATAAAAACAAACAAAAAAACCCCAATATATCCCCAAACTGTTACCTCCTAAGGCCTTTAAATAAAAGTTCTCTGTAATTCTTTTATATAATTCCAGGTTCCAGCACTGTGTCTCAAGACATAATTTTCTTTGCTATATGTATATACTATTGTTATATACATATAGCCTTTTGTTAATCAAACAGGAGCACAAAGAAATATACTAGTATTTACATCACTTTTCTTATCTCCTTTAATGATAGAAGCTCCTGGTTTGAAGGGTTTACAGGCATTATACATAGGTAAAGCTATGTCTTCAGCATACGCATGAAATGCTGACATGATTTTGTGCAATATTGTATAAGATTAATAAACTTACACAAGGTCTAATACACTAACGTAAAATTTATGGAGATATGGTGAGCTCCTTGGAGAAAAGTTGACTCTTATTCAAAACCTTTGTAAAGATGTATTTTATCTCTTATTTCTTTAATATTATTAAATGTCTGCCCTGATTTTCATGTTTTTATACTGAGTAAGAACTTATCCTTAAAAAAGTTCAGTGACATTCTGATGAACTGCAATGTTTCCAATTACTAGAGAAGTTTTGATCCTATTAATCACTTCCATGAAATAGCTCCCCAAACCCTGATGATCATTTTTTTCTTCAGATCTACTTATTTTTCCTAATAACGTATGTCAGAAACATAGGCAGAGTAGTCCAGCCCTAGTATATTTCTGTACAAAGTGATGATAAATATCATTTTTCCTGGATTCTGTTGGTAGAGCAGTATATTATCCTGAAGTTTAGAAATGACTATATGCCAGACAGGGTGGTACATTCCTGTGTTCTGGGAGGCTGAGGCAGGAGGATCCCAAGTTTCAGCCCAGCCAGGAAACTTAGTAAGAGCCTGTCTCAAAAAGTAAAAGAGCACTGGGATGCAGTTTAGTGTGATGGCTCTGGGTTTAATCCCCAGGGCTGCACAAATGAATGAATGAATAAATGAATAAATGAATGCAGCTTAGCATTTCTGTTCCTGACAAAACGGCTAGGGATGCAGCTTTGGGCAAAGGACCTGGATTCAATCCCTAGGGCCACCATAAGTAAATGAATGAGTAATAAATGAGTGTAGCTTAATATTTCTATCCTTAGCAGTGAAAATCTGTTATTTTCTGCTGACTCTCAGTGTTCTCAAATTATATCTATTAACATTAATATAACTTTTTAGTACATGAAAAAATGAATCTAGAGGTGTCACTTTACTCTCTCTATTCCAAACAAGGCATCAAAATAAAAGTATTCCTAGTAGTGCTGGAGAAGATCCCATTCCCTAAGCCACTTCATCAGACAATATATTCCTATATTTTGTTCTCATTTGAAAAACTCCACTTAAAATCTTGTTTTTCAAAGACTTTTCTGGTAG